AGCCCTATTATTCCCCAAGTGGTTTTTCTTTGTTTCTTTTTTCTTTTTCCTCCCCTTTGAACTGGAAAATGGCCCACTTCCCACTGGCGAAAACTCATGAAATTTGGCAGGACGACCGGGCCTGGTGAAAAATTTGATATTCTGAAGTCGCCCAAACAATACAATGCAAAATGGCTCCATAGCGCCCCCTAAGGTGAAAAATTCACCTGACGCCTGTACGCTTTGTCAAAATGACACAAAAATTGACACACACATGTATCTCAATAAGATCTACAAAAAAGTCAGTGCGGGCGTATCTGTCAAATGTACGGTTAAAGGGTTATTGCGCATTTTTTGCCGATCCGCACACATTGGAATTTCGCTAACTCCTCCGAAGGCTTTCGTTCCACCGGCACCACATTTGCTCAGGCCAATCTACACCCCATGGCCATTAAAAGTTATTCAAATCATGACGCTGCACCCCACGGTTTAGGTTCTAGGGGGCGCCAAAGATAACCCTAAAATCCACATATTTCAAAGTCTTATAACTTTTTATTTTTGCCCTCACTGGCCTCCAAGTTTTCTAGGATGATGCAATGTCCAGCCATCAACACATTTGTAAAGGAATTTTTACTCCCCAAAAGAGCGCCCCCCCATGGCAGGAGAAAAAAGTCCATTTTTTCTTGTCCCATAAGGTGAAAATTCACACTATTGACTGTCACGCCTGTACGCTTTGTCAAAATTACACAAAAATGGACACACACATGTATCTCAATAAGATCTACAAAAAAGTCAGTGCTGGCGTATCTGTCAAATGTACGGTTAAAGGGTTATTGCGCATTTTTTGCCGATCCGCACACATTGGAATTTCGCTAACTCCTCCGAAGGCTTTCGTTCCACCGGCACCACATTTGCTCAGGCCAATCTACACCCCATGGCCATTAAAAGTTATTCAAATCATGACGCTGCACCCCACGGTTTAGGTTCTAGGGGGCGCCAAAGATAACCCTAAAATCCACATATTTAAAAGTCTTATAACTTTTTATTTTTGTCCTCTCTGGCCTCCAAGTTTTCTAGGATGATGCAATGTCAAGCCATCAACACATTTGTGAAGGAATTTTTACTCCCCAAAAGAGCGCCCCCCATGGCAGGAGAAAAAAGTCCATTTTTTCTTGTCCCATAAGGTGAAAATACACATTGTTGACTGTCATACCTGTATGCTTTGTCATATTGACACAAAATTTGACACACACATGTATCTCAATAAGATCTACGAAAAAGTCAAAGAGCGCGTATCTGTAAAATGTACGGTTAAAGGGCTATTTAGCATTTTTTGCCGATTAGCACACATTGGAATGTGGCTAACTCCTCCTAAGGCTTTCGTCCCACTGACACCAAATTTGCTCAGGCCAATCTACACCCCATGGCCATTCAAAGTTTTAAAAATCATGACGCTGCACCCCACGGTTTTCGTTCTAGGGGGCGCCAAAGATGACCCAAATATCCACATTCTTAAAAGAATCCACATCCCCCCATCCCCCCCCCCCCCCCATCCCCCATCCCCCATCCCCCATGGCAGGAGAAACAGTCAAGTTTTTCCTGCCCATCACTCAATGGCTCAATCGCATCGCTCTCCCGGCAACACCGTAACGAGGAGAAACTTGCTGTTTGGATATATCCTATCTGTGTTTGTGCCCTCACTCATGGTCCAGACTTTTTTCAAATAGGACATGTAGTTTGTCTGCAGCGAGTGTTTTGGTAGAAACTGCGCCTCCCATTCATTATAATGGGAAATGACCACAGACAAGTGCGCACACCATCTTTGGACCTTGAGTGTGACGCGATCGGGAGGGGGAGGCGGTCGCACTGGGGGCGGCGCAACGCGGCTCGGGCCCGCCAGTGCCCCAACGGGGCCCTAGTTTCTTTTTCCTCCCCTTTGAACTGGAAAATGGCCCACTTCCCACTGGCGAAAACTCATGAAATTTGGCAGGACGACCGGGCCTGGTGAAAAATTTGATATTCTGAAGTCGCCCAAACAATACAATGCAAAATGGCTCCATAGCGCCCCCTAAGGTGAAAAATTCACCTGACGCCTGTACGCTTTGTCAAAATGACACAAAAATTGACACACACATGTATCTCAATAAGATCTACAAAAAAGTCAGTGCGGGCGTATCTGTCAAATGTACGGTTAAAGGGTTATTGCGCATTTTTTGCCGATCCGCACACATTGGAATTTCGCTAACTCCTCCGAAGGCTTTCGTTCCACCGGCACCACATTTGCTCAGGCCAATCTACACCCCATGGCCATTAAAAGTTATTCAAATCATGACGCTGCACCCCACGGTTTAGGTTCTAGGGGGCGCCAAAGATAACCCTAAAATCCACATATTTAAAAGTCTTATAACTTTTTATTTTTGCCCTCACTGGCCTCCAAGTTTTCTAGGATGATGCAATGTCCAGCCATCAACACATTTGTGAAGGAATTTTTACTCCCCAAAAGAGCGCCCCCCCATGGCAGGAGAAAAAAGTCCATTTTTTCTTGTCCCATAAGGTGAAAATTCACACTATTGACTGTCACGCCTGTACGCTTTGTCAAAATTACACAAAAATTGACACACACATGTATCTCAATAAGATCTACAAAAAAGTCAGTGCGGGCGTATCTGTCAAATGTACGGTTAAAGGGTTATTGCGCATTTTTTGCCGATCCGCACACATTGGAATTTCGCTAACTCCTCCGAAGGCTTTCGTTCCACCGGCACCACATTTGCTCAGGCCAATCTACACCCCATGGCCATTAAAAGTTATTCAAATCATGACGCTGCACCCCACGGTTTAGGTTCTAGGGGGCGCCAAAGATAACCCTAAAATCCACATATTTCAAAGTCTTATAACTTTTTATTTTTGTCCTCTCTGGCCTCCAAGTTTTCTAGGATGATGCAATGTCCAGCCATCAACACATTTGTGAAGGAATTTTTACTCCCCAAAAGAGCGCCCCCCCATGGCAGGAGAAAAAAGTCCATTTTTTCTTGTCCCATAAGGTGAAAATACACATTGTTGACTGTCATACCTGTATGCTTTGTCATATTGACACAAAATTTGACACACACATGTATCTCAATAAGATCTACGAAAAAGTCAATGCGCGCGTATCTGTAAAATGTACGGTTAAAGGGCTATTTTGCATTTTTTGCCGATTAGCACACATTGGAATGTGGCTAACTCCTCCTAAGGCTTTCGTCCCACTGACACCAAATTTGCTCAGGCCAATCTACACCCCATGGCCATTCAAAGTTTTAAAAATCATGACGCTGCACCCCACGGTTTACGTTCTAGGGGGCGCCAAAGATGACCCAAATATCCACATTCTTAAAAGAATCCACACCCCCCCCCCCCCATCCCCCATCCCCCCCCCCCCAAGGCAGGAGAAAAAGTCAAGTTAACCCTGCCCATCGCTCAATGGCTCAATCGCATCGCTCTCCCGGCAACACCGTAAGGAGGAGCAACTTGCCGTTTGGATATATCCTAGCTGTGTTTTTGCCCTCACTCATGGTCCAGACTTTTTTCAAATAGGACATGTAGTTTGTCTGCAGCGAGCGTTTTGGTAGAAACTGCGCCTCCCATTCATTATAATGGGAAATGACCACAGACAAGTGCGCACACCATCTTTGGACCTTGAGTGTGACGCGATCGGGAGGGGGAGGCGGTCGCGCTGGGGGCGGTGCGACGCGGCTCGGGCCCGACAGTGCCCCACCGGGGCCCTAGTTCTTTCTTTCTTTCTTCTTTTTCCTCCCCTTTGAACTGGAAAATGGCCCACTTCCCACTGGCGAAAACTCATGAAATTTGGCAGGACGACCGGGCCTGGTGAAAAATTCGATATTCTGAAGTCGCCCAAACAATAAAATGCAAAATGGCTCCATAGCGCCCCCTAAGGTGGAAATTCACACTATTGACTGTCACGCCTGTACGCTTTGTCATATTGACACAAAAATTGACACACATATGTATCTTAATAAGATCTACAAAAAAGTCAGTGCGGCCGTATCTGTCAAAATTACGGTTAAAGGGTTATTTCGCATTTTTTGCCGATCCGCACACATTGGAATTTCGCTAACTCCTCCGAAGGCTTTCGTTCCACCGGCACCACATTTGCTCAGGCCAATCTACACCCCGTGGCCATTAAAAGTTATCAAAATCATGACGCTGCACCCCAAGGTTTAGGTTCTAGGGGGCGCCAAAGATAACACTAAAATCCACATATTTAAAAGTCTTATAACTTTTTATTTTTGTCCTCACTGGCCTCCAAGTTTTCTAGGATGATGCAATGTCCAGCCATCAACACATTTGTGAAGGAATTTTTACTCCCCAAAAGAGCGCCCCCCCATGGCAGGAGAAAAAAGTCCATTTTTTCTTGTCCCCTAAGGTGAAAATACACATTGTTGAGTGTCACGCCTATACGCTTTGTCAAAATGACACAAAAATTGACACACACATGTAACTCAATAAGATCTACAAAAAAGTCAACGCGCGCGTATCTGTCAAATGTACAGTTAAAGGGTTATTCCGCATTTTTTGCCGATACGCACACATTGGAATTTCGCTAACTCCTCCGAAGGCTTTCGTTCCACCGGCACCACATTTGCTCAGGCCAATCTACACCCCATGGCCATTAAAAGTTATTCAAATCATGATGCTGCACCCCATGGTTTAGGTTCTAGGGGGCGCCAAAAATAACCCAAAAATCCACATTCTTAAATGTTTTATAACTTTTTATTTTTGTCCTCACTGGCCTCCAAGTTTTCTAGGATGATGCAATGTCCAGCCATCAACACATTTGTGAAGGAATTTTTACTCCCCAAAAGAGCGCCCCCCCATGGTAGGAGAAAAAAGTCAATTTTTTCTTGTCCCCTTACATAAAAATACACATTGTTGAGTGTCACGCCTGAACGCTTTGTCATATTGACACAAAAATTGACAATCATGTGTATCTCAATTAGATCTACGAAAAAGTCAAAGAGCGCGTATCTGTATAATGTACGGTTAAAGGGCTATTTTGTATTTTTTGCCGATTCGCACACATTGGAATGTGGCTATCTCCTCCTAAGGCTTTCGTCCCACCGATACCACATTTGCTCAGGGCAATCTACACCCCATGCCCATTCAAAGTTGTAAAAATCATGACGCTGCACCCCACGGTTTACGTTCTAGGGGGCGCCAAAAATGACCCAAAAATCCACATTCTTAAAAGTCATTTTGGCCACTGCAGGAGTACAGAGTACTGCAGTTCTAGGGGGCGCCAAAGATGACCCAAAAATCCACATTCTAAAAAGTCTTTTTGGCCACTGCAGGAGTACAGAGTACTGCTGGATACACACACATATACACACACGCAAACATACACACACACACACACACACACACACACACAGACACACACACACACTCAGAGTCTGTTTTTTAGCACCTGCAAAAACATGCTGTTTACATATTTGACAAGAATGCAGAGGCTTCCTTTTGCCCCTGAAAAAAATCAAATTTCAAACACAACTTGACTGTTCATTTCTCCAAAAGACAACCATGAAGCTCCATTTCAAACCTGAAGCAGATAGTTGGTGCATGTGTACAGTAACCTGAGGGGAGTGAGGTGACTATTTCTGAGGAGAACATGAGCAGTGAAGATTCACCTTGGAGCTAGAACAGGGACGTGCACATGATTATACAGGGGCAGGGGCTCAAGTTTTTTCCAGTCATTTATACAATATGGAAATTAATGTGAAATTAAACCACAAATATGTGTGATGAACTGTTTTTAAAACTTAAACTTCAAATAAAAATTGTAAACTTCAAAACATATGCAAATTTTTAACAAAGAACATAGTAATTTACCTCTATTTACATCAAAATGCAGGCAATGGCCCAGGCGTTCTTTGTAAAATTATTTACAAAACACTGTATAGTCTCACAAATGTCACTTTTTATTTATGCCACTACAAAAAAACATGATGTAAATGATGCATGATGTAAAACATGATGTAAAAAACTTGTGTAGATCCTCCTCTATGTCAGTCCATGTGTAATTTTTCCATAATTCTTTGTTTTTTGCAGCATTTTTGTTAGTGTAACTGCAGATTGTGCTGACAGTGTCTATGGCACAAAAAAAAAAAAAAATTAAAATGCCTCAACATGAACCCCTGGTGGTCTCTGAGGGTGAAACCTGCTAACTGCTGCAGCTCTGTCAGCTTCAGTCTCCCATGCAGAGCTCTGAGCGCATGTGTGGCTCTGCACCCTTAGCCGCGTTGCTAACTCCTCAGTAAGGAAAGCCTGCTTCATGTCAGAGTCTCTAAACTCCAGAAGAAGTCGATAAAAGTCCCTTTCTTTCTAAAAAAAAGTCGTTAGGGTGTCTGAAAAGTCATTGAATCTAACAACAAAGTCGCTAGGTTTGCAACTACGTGTCCCAGACTGCATCCCTGCTGAGAGTCCCTCCCTCCCTTCTCATATTGCAGGAAGAACGTAAGCGCCCGCCCCTTGTCAATCAGTCACCATATAATTTTGGATTGGTTGTTGTGGTGAAGTTTTCCACCAATAGGAGAGATGTTGTGGTGTGTTTTTTTTTTCTTTTGGCAAGCCTTTTCCGCCTGTAAGACCTGTCGCTAATGTCTGCATGCTATGTTTTCCTGTCTCATACAGCGCGATCGAGCGCCGAACGTGATCAAAATAAGCAGAAAAAAAGTATCGCGGACATAATTTATCATAACTCTGGTTTTATTTGGCCTATCAACACAATTTAAAAACTGGTATATAGGTTGAGGTCCTCACTTTTGAGATAAGTTGAAACGGAGAGTCAACGAGGCTCCGTCTTGCAGCTACATCCGGTTAAATATGTCATGTGATTTGAACGCACACATAGACACACACACACACACACACACACACACACACACACACACACACACACTCAGAGTCTGGTTTTTAGCACCTGCAAAAACATGCTATTTACATATTTGACAAGAATGCAGAGGCTCCTTTTGCCCCTGAAAAAAATCTAATTTCAAACACAACTTGACTGGTCATTTCTCCAAAAGACAACCATGAAGCTCCATCCAAACCTGAAGCAGGCAGTTGGTGCATGTGTACAGTAACCTGAGGGGAGTGAGGTGAGTGCTTCTGAGGAGAACATGAGCAGTGAAGATTCACCTTGGAGCTAGAACAGAGACATGCACATGATTATACAGGGGCAGGGGCTCAAGTTTTTTCCAGTCGTTTATACAATATGGAAATTAATGTGAAATTAAAACACAAAGTATTAATAGAAAGGTAATGACTGTCCTGTGTAGGTGACAGTGATATCCAATAGGCTAGGCACTCACGAGGCTGGCTGTGGCAAGTGTAAGTGAAAGCAACACGCACTGGCAGGAAGAACAGCAAACACCGATGAAGGAAAAGGGTCTTTGCAGTGATGGGCGTTAACAGAGAGGGCGATGGCCAGAGGACACAAATGGGACGGGGAGGCAGCACGTTGGGGGGGGGGGGGGGGGAGACGCGACACGGCTCGGGCCCGCCAGTGCCCCAACGGGGTCCTAGTTTCTTTTTCCTCCCCTTTGAACTGGAAAATGGCCCACTTCCCACTGGCGAAAACTCATGAAATTTGGCAGGACGACCGGGCCTGGTGAAAAATTTGATATTCCGAAGTCGCCCAAACAAGAAAATGCAAAATGGCTCCATAGCGCCCCCTAAGGTGAAAATTCACACTATTGAGTGTCACGCCTGTACGCTTTGTCAAAATGACACAAAATTTGACACACACATGTATCTCAATAAGATCTACAAAAAAGTCAGTGCGGGCGTATCTGTCAAATGTACGGTTAAAGGGTTATTTCGCATTTTTTGCCGATCCGCACACATTGGAATTTCGCTAACTCCTTTGAAGGCTTTCGTTCCACCGGCACCACATTTGCTCAGGCCAATCTACACCCCATGGCCATTAAAAGTTATTCAAATCATGACGCTGCACCCCACGGTTTAGGTTCTAGGGGGCGCCAAAGATAACCCTAAAATCCACATATTTAAAAGTCTTATAACTTTTTATTTTTGCCCTCACTGGCCTCCAAGTTTTCTAGGATGATGCAATGTCCAGCCATCAACACATTTGTGAAGGAATTTTTACTCCCCAAAAGAGCGCCCCCCCATGGCAGGAGAAAAAAGTCCATTTTTTCTTGTCCCCTAAGGTGAAAATACACATTGTTGAGTGTCACGCCTGTACGCTTTGTCAAAATGACACAAAAATTGACACACACATGTATCTCAATAAGATCTACAAAAAAGTCCATGCGCGCGTATCTGTCAAATGTACGGTTAAAGGGTTATTCCGCATTTTTTGCCGATTCGCACACATTGGAATTTCGCTAACTCCTCCGAAGGCTTTCGTTCCACCGGCACCACATTTGCTCAGGCCAATCTACACCCCATGGCCATTAAAAGTTATTCAAATCATGACGCTGCACCCCACGGTTTACGTTCTAGGGGGCGCCAAAGATAACCCAAAAATCCACATTTTTAAAAGTCTTATAACTTTTTATTTTTGCCCTCACTGGCCTCCAAGTTTTCTAGGATGATGCAATGTCCAGCCATCAACACATTTGTGAAGGAATTTTTACTCCCTAAAAGAGCGCCCCCCCATGGCAGGAGAAAAAAGTCCATTTTTTCTTGTCCCCTAAGGTGAAAATACACATTGTTGACTGTCACGCCTGTATGCTTTGGCAAAATGACACAAAAATTGACAATCATGTGTATCTCAATTAGATCTACGAAAAAGTCAAAGAGCGCGTATCTGTATAATGTACGGTAAAAGGGCTATTTTGCATTTTTTGCCGATTCGCACACATTGGAATTTCGCTAACTCCTCCTAAGGCTTTCGTCCCACTGACACCAAATTTGCTCAGGCCAATCTACACTCCATGGCCATTCAAAGTTGTAAAAATCATGACGCTGCACCCCACGGTTTACGTTTTAGGGGGCGCCAAAGATGACCCAAATATACATTACAGTAGACAAAGTAGTTTTGCCCACTGAGTGGCGCCAAAGGGACTTGTCTGTGGAGTCTGTGAGTCACTATTGGCCGTTTTTGACTACTTTAGATTTTACCTTTATATTTCCTCTTACAAAATTTTTACCTTGCCTTGCCTGGTATCATTTTTTTCAGCACAACCTCACCTGTGTCAATTTACAGTTATTTTATCATTTTGACATACTATATTTACACATTGGACCCAAATTCACACACAAAACATAAAATCCGAGTGGAAAAAAGTAACGTTTTTACTGTGAAAACCACAAATATGTGTGATGAACTGTTTTTAAAACTTAAACTTCAAATAAAAATTGTAAACTTCAAAACATATGCAAATTTTTAACAAAGAACATAGTAATTTACCTCTATTTACATCAAAATGCAGGCAATGGCCCAGGTGTTCTTTGTAAAATTATTTACAAAACACTGTATAGTCTCACAAATGTCACTTTTTATTTATGCCACTACAAAAAAACATGATGTAAATGATGCATGATGTAAAACATGATGTAAAAAACTTGTGTAGATCCTCCTTTATGTTAGTCCATGTGTAATTTTTCCATAATTCTTTGTTTTTTGCAGCATTTTTGTTAGTGTAACTGCAGATTGTGCTGACAGTGTCTATGGCAAAAAAAAAAAAAAAACTGAAAATGCCTCAACATGAACCCCTGGTGGTCTCTGAGGGTGAAACCTGCTAACTGCTGCAGCTCTGTCAGCTTCAGTCTCCCATGCAGAGCTCGGAGCGCATGTGTGGCTCTGCACCCTTAGCAGCGTTGCTAACTCCTCAGTAAGGAAAGCCTGCTTCATGTCAGAGTCTCTAAACTCCAGAAGAAGTCGATAAAAGTCACTTTCTTTCTAAAAAAAAAGTCGTTAGGGGGTCTGAAAAGTCATTGAATCTAACAACAAAGTCGCTAGGTTTGCAACTACGTGTCCCAGACTGCATCCCTGCTGAGAGTCCCTCCCTCCCTTCTCATATTGCAGGAAGAACGTAAGCGCCCGCCCCTTGTCAATCAGTCACCATATAATTTTGGATTGGTTGTTGTGGTGAAGTTTTCCACCAATAGGAGAGATGTTGTGGTGTGTTTTTTTTTTCCTTTGGCAAGCCTTTTCCGCCTGTAAGACCTGTCGCTAATGTCTGCATGCTATGTTTTCCTGTCTCATACAGCGCGATCGAGCGCCGAACGTGATCAAAATAAGCAGAAAACAAGTATCGCGGACATAATTTATCATAACTCTGGTTTTATTTGGCCTATCAACACAATTTAAAAACTGGTATATAGGTTGAGGTCCTCACTTTTGAGATAAGTTGAAACGGAGTCAACGAGGCTCCGTCTTGCAGCTACATCCGGTTAAATATGTCATGTGACTTGAACGCACACACACACACACACACACACACACACACACACACAGACACACACACACACGCACACACACACACTCAGAGTCTGGTTTTTAGCACCTGCAAAAACATGCTATTTACATATTTGACAAGAATGCAGAGGCTCCTTTTGCCCCTGAAAAAAATCAAATTTCAAACACAACTTGACTGGTCATTTCTCCAAAAGACAACCATGAAGCTCCATCCAAACCTGAAGCAGGCAGTTGGTGCATGTGTACAGTAACCTGAGGGGAGTGAGGTGACTGCTTCTGAGGAGAACATGAGCAGTGAAGATTCACCTTAGAGCTAGAACAGAGACGTGCACATGATTATACAGGGGCAGGGGCTCAAGTTTTTTCCAGTTGTTTATACAATATGGAAATTAATGTGAAATTAAAAAACAAAGTATTAATAGAAAGGTAATGACTGTCCTGAGTAGGTGACAGTGATATCCAATAGGCTAGGCACTCAAGAGGCTGGCTGTGGCAAGTGTAAGTGAAAGCAACACGCACTGGCAGGAAGAACAGCAAACGCCGATGAAGGAAAAGGGTCTTTGCAGTGATGGGCGTTACCAGAGAGGGCGATGGCCAGAGGACACAAATGGGACGGGGAGGCAGCGCGTTGGGGGGGGGACGCGACACAGCTCGGGCCCGCCAGTGCCCCACCGGGGTCCTAGTTATGTCCTTGTACCTCTCAGACATATGTCAAACTCATGTCCCAGCTTTATTTCCCACAATGCACAATACTTTTGTTTACTTCCTGTAGTTGGTAAATTGGTCATCGAAAAAGTCCAGTTGCATCAGGGCTGCGTTTACACCCACCCCGGACAGGACCATGGTAAGTTTGGAAGGGGACTGAGTTCAGCATTTTCAAGAGGACCATGGTCTGTTTGATCCGGACCACGATTTGCTTGCACATTCGTACTACCCGGAGCAAAGGAGTAAGGGGACCATAGTCCTTTTAAAACGAACCAAACAGTCCTGGTGTGAATGCACCCTGATTCTCCTGACAGCTGGTTTTGAGACATGGCAACAACCTGAAGTCAGATCTTGCTGTCCTACCAGTACATTACTAAAGGAAAAGCCTACCCAAACACTGGTCTTCAGCTAGTGTTCTTCTCCTCTCTGCTCTTTGCTGGTTCAGTCTGGCTCTTACAGTGTCTCAAGTCTTCTTTTTCTTGTGACGAAAAGTCTCAGCTATTTTCTCTTCCCAAAGACCAAGGCTCCAGAAAACAGTTTGGAGGTTTTTAGACAACAACAGCCACATCTTAGCTGTTTGTGCTCAACACTTCACTGAGGACTCCTCTGTAAATAAAAGGCTGGTACAAGCTGGATTTGAGTCACAGCTGTTACTGAAATCTGGAGCTGTTCATCTTTAGAGATGAATGCAACATGAAATGTACTATAATGTAACTAAACTGAGACCTAAGTGGATGCATATTGCTAACCTCAGTCATTTTCTGTAAAAGCATAACTTTGGGTGGTTTCAGGACCACAAAACCGTGTCCAACTTTCTGTCAGCATAAAAGCAGCTGAACAAAGCTTTTATAGGCAGAGGCTGGACCGAGCTGAAACTGGGGTTTTTACAGACACCAGTATAAAATAAATAAGGATTTTTTTAAGCTGCAAGTCAGGCAAAGCCGCTCTACAGCTGTCCAAGACTGACAGAATAGACTGTAAAAATAAGTTTAATTTGAGTTGGTCGCATTTCTTCTTGAATCATTTTTTCTCAACTTTTGATACCAGTGGATCAAATTTGAATCTGACTGATCAGGTCTAAACTGGACCCCACTTTGAGGCCAGTGGATGGGATCCTCACCTCAGGCAGCTGCTACAGTCTCTTTTAACTGTTCACAGTTTAAATCTGACTAAGATTCTGTCATCCCTCTGCCAGTGGATGGCATTTCTTTTTTTTTTTTTTACAACTCTTAGTCCTGCTGTTTCTAAAGGCTGTTTTTTTCTGGAATAGCTGCACTTCTCCACAGTTTTCCACCTGCCAGTCTGAACTCCAACTCATAAAGCAACATCACACTCTTAGGAAACAAAGAAGCGTGCTAATCTGTTCAGCTCTCAGTGTTTGAGGACATGGACATTTTGCTGAGGCAGCTTTTTCTCAGATTACGACGTGTCCCTGCTGTGTGTGACAGTGAGTCACTCCTGTTACTCTGGCAGCTCTTACTTTTTTTGGCAAACTGGAGCTCTTACACTTCAGTTTCAGTGTCACATGCCAATTCTGAGTATGTGCTCCTCTGACTGCCGCTCAGACACTGTCACTCATGACAGCTGTATGATACACAAATATTATAATGCTGGCATACAACAAATTTCTCCTGACAGATGTCACTGTATGCCCACACTGCTGCCACACTGATCCAGATGTGACTCCTCAAAACAACTAGCTGGTGCAAGCTCTGCTCACCTGATGAGCATCTCAGGACACACTCAGAGAGAGTGCACACACTGAGCAGTTTGAACAAAAACAAGTCCAGTACTTAATGGCAGAGATCAGCACCCCCCCCCCCCCCCCCCCCCCCCCACACACACACACACACACACACACACAGTGTTTTATTTTTGAAAAGAAGCAGGAAGTTTTATTTTGTGCCAGTGCCCGACTTCCTTTCCAGCACAGGCTAATCTGTGCTAAATTTATGAGGCATGCTGCGGCGTCCAGAAAAAAAAGAACCCTGGTGATCGGCTGCAGAGTCCACTTAACCGCAGAGGAACGGAAAGAAGCTGGTGGAATTTGACACATTAACTTGAATGGAAACGATCAGCTACAATCGGCGCATATGACCTTTCGCTGGCATTTCAGATGTGGTGGAAATTGGGGGTTAGACTGACCAAGAGCGGAGACACAAGGACCTCTGTTCCAGCATTCAGTCAGTGGTTGAAAGGACAATTGGTCTGCTGAAGGGACAGTGGTGCTGCCTGGACAGGACTGGGGTAATATTGTTGTACAGTACTGAGAAGGTGTGGCACAGTGTGATGTTGTGCGGCGTCCTCCCTAATCTGACACACTGGCACGCCATATCACTGCCAGGCCTGGCAACCTTTGATTTCAACCATGGAAAAGAGGCAAGGACACCGAATTCACTCAGTTCTTAAGTCTATGGCACATGGCTGTGACTGTGTCCTCTGCTGTGTTTTAAAATAGAAAATTAAGTTATCAAACATGAGTCTTTGATATCCTCTTTGATACACTAGCACGTTCAAATTTAATTCATAAGATTTCAAACCAAATAATACCATACGAACAGCATTTAACACATGGGTATTTACCTTGGGGGTAATCAGAGTCACCCACATGTGCACCTACCAACCCTGAGAGAATAGTTTCACCCACAATTGTGGTGACTCTCTGTTTAAACAGCATAGGCCCCTCTTCTCCTCTCCCCTCCCCTGTTTTGGCCACACTTTGGCAGCGGGCAACCATCCTCCTCTTCACATCCACCTTAATGTCTGACCACTTCTTTTTCAGTTCTGCTTGTGTGCATGCTACTGACCCCACAGCATTGACAGCCTCACACACTCTCCCATCCGATCCTCTTGCATTTGCTACTACTGGTGGAAGATGGCGTGCCAAAAGCCTTTTTTTTTGTGCACCTCCACTTCAGCAAGTAGCACCCCCAGTTTGCTTTCTGTGCAATGCTTTTTTTTACCATCTTACTCATTGTTTTTTTAATTTTCTGATTGTGCACAGAGAGGAATTTCAGGTGCAAGGCTCATTTAAATATGATTTGCAAATCTAAGTGGGGCAACGGACAGGGAGGGGTCAGGTACTCCAACATTTGTGCTCAATTCCACATTTATTAAGATGTACTGAGGAAATGTGCTAAGAATCAAGCATGCGCACAGATGTTTTTTTGTGTGTACAACGTTTTTTGGAATCGAGCGTACGCCATGTTTCAGTGTGATATCTTTGCCACTTTAGTGTGTGACTACATCTCATTTTAAGACCAACACTCAGGGGTGCAGGCTCACTTGTTATTTACACCACATTGGTAAAACAGTAGGTGTAAAAATAATCACACATACTCAGAATGAAGACACATCTTGAGCAAGATGTGCATTACTGCTCTGAGTTTGGACACCCCTCACTTGCTTTTATCATTATTATAATTACTATTCAAACATTCAAATAATCCTGAATTAACAGTGGTACTTTTATTTTCTTAGAACTAGTTGCAGCCCATGTCACATCTTCTCAGAAGTGGAATTAACATGTTATCATGCAAACACTTATTCTGGTGACTGCCAACAAAAATCTAAACAATACTTTTTAAAGTGCTAAAGTGCTAAACAAAAATGTATTCAATCCTACATGAATAAGACACTATTTTTTGGTCAACAGGAGCAGTCTCTTCACACATAATGGCCTTCATTTATCAAGCTTGCATACGGCAGAAAACTTGAGTACACCTTGCGTACAAAAATGTTGACGTGAGGATCGGCATTTATCAATCTGCACGTGAGCGTACGCTACGACCAAATCTCACGACAGGTCTGACAATCGTGTACGCAAGTTTGAGTCAGTGTGGATCTGCAGTGCAGCAAATTTCTGTCTCAAAATAACTGATATACAAACCTCAACCCTGTCATTAAGTACAATCAGCCAGATTTCATTAAAGATTAAGACGTAAATAAAATCAAATAAAATCAAATAAATTTGTTATGTCCTTAGTGATGAATAGGCCTATTTGAAAACTATGCCCAGAAACACTGCCACAGAGCAGGAGCCATAAAAATCCATAAAAATGTGCCTCAGGGGCAGCAACACACCGTTTGGTGACGTTAATAATTATTTTTGTTCAGCCTCTGTCAGACTCTCCAGTCTGCCCTACATTACAAAGACGCAACAAATTAAACTAAATACTTTCAGTAATAGGAGCAACGTACCCTATGCCATGGCAATAAAAAATAGGAGGCATGTATGAGACATTAATTTATCATCATTAGCAACTTATTGACTAATGATTTATTCAAACTTCAGCCACTGTCCACTTCTCTGTGGCAGCGCTGTTCACCGCCACCATAACCCTGATCCAGACATGAGTTTTCTGGACTGCTTTTATACCAGTTTTGATGCTTCCAAAGAGAAAATCCTTGTTAGTTTCCACCACAGACGCGAGGATATCCACTTTCAGCTCAGAAAAGTTTCAAATCTTTCTAATATTTCTCCTTTTTCATGTCTGACCTCAGTGGGTGAGGCTTCTGAACCACAAATATTTAAGGGCATAAACATGTTAATGACGATCAATTTCAGCTGCCGCATTTATCAAGACCCGATCATACGTACGCTGGGATTGGTCAGATACGAACCCTTTCATAAATCTCATGTGTGTCCTATCGTAGGATGAATCCTGCGCTCAGATCTGCGCTCAGAACTGCACAAGATTGATAAATGAGGGCCAGTGTTACATTTTACCATGTATTGTGCAACCAGGCCTTTGACAGTGTTGACACACCAGCTATCTAACCCCTCGGTTGAAACAATTATGCGATTGTGTGCCCTTTGGCAGAAATAAATCATGTTTACAGCATTTCACATCTGGGTTTACATTATGTATCTACGCAATACAGCAAAAAGAAACAAAGAACAAGATCCTGCCATAGAAAATACAGCAGGACAGGACAGAATTACAGGGATGAGAAGGAAAGCAAAGGGATCTATGCCAAAGAGAAAGAGAAAACAGCTCCGAAAGAACAGAGCGGAGAACAGAGGCACAGAGGAAAGAAAGAAACCATCAAACAGAGGCAGTGCAGACACATGCTGCAGCTCTGTCTGGTCATAACAGATGCAAATTGCACTCATAGATGATTACTGCCCATGAACTGATGACCCCTCATTACCATCATCTAATGCAGACAAGGTTTCAATCACATTAGACGCAGCTTGTTCCCATTTAAATCCCTCTGATTCAGACTGAGAGTAGATTTCCACTCACCTCTGACTCATGATGTCTTTTTACACCTGCTCCTCCATGAAGAGACACACAGTGGCTCAGTGAAACAGTCCAGCAGGATCTAAAACTAATCAAGATGAAATACCCTCAATCAAGGCCATTATACTAAAAAGATATCTCTGCTTGTTCCTGGAGTAACAAGAGAGACCGTCATCATCAAGTGGAGAAAATATGGCACAATGGTGACATTACCAAGAACAGGACGTCCGTCCAAAATTGATGATAAGACGAGAAGAAAACTGGTCAGGGAGGCTACCAAGAGGCCGACAGCAACACTGAAGGAGCTGCAGGAATTTCTGGCAAGTACTGGCTGTGTAGTACATGTGACAACAATCTCCCGCTGTCTTCACATGTCTGGGCTATGTAGAAGGGTGGCAAGATGGAAGCCTTATCTTACAAATAAAAACATCAAAACCTGGCTTAATTTAGCAAAAAGACATCTGAAATCTCCCAAACGCATGTAGTAAAATGTGTTATGGTCTGATGAAATCAGAGTTTAACTTTTTGGACATAATTGCAAAAGGTATATTTGGCGCAAAATCAACACTGCTCATCACCAAAAGAACACCATACCTACAGTGAAGCATGGTGGTGGCAGCATCATGCTTTGGGGCTGTTTTTCTTCAGCTGGAACTGGTGCCTTAGTCAGGGTGGAGGGAATTATGAACAGTTCCAAATACCAGTCAGTGGCCTGAGGTCTCGCTACAAACAAGCGGCTGCTGGAAGAGAGTGGGTGAGTTGTGTTTGGTCTCTCTGCTAAAAAAAACCATGCAAAGCTAAAAAGATGTTTGGTGGCTGGTACTATGGCTGGGACCCTATATGTACTGTTGATGAAGGTAGGTGCTGTTCTTAGCATTATTTGTGGCTATAGAGTGGCTTTTTAGTTGAGCGTGTGGCTCCTGGGGGCTGCTTTTTATCGCTATTGTGCGGTCATTACCAAAGTTCGTATAACTGGAGAAGCAAGTGGTCATCATTTCTCTCTCGAGGGGTGTCTAACTTGGTGTTACCGTGTGTTTGACCCTAACTTAATTTCATGGCTGATTATCCCTTCAAGTTAAAGTTTTATTTGTTTTGTTGGCTTTTTAGAAGCACACTCTTTGACTATTTGTTGAAAATACGATGTGTGAACAGTGAAACATGCACAGAATCTTTTGGCTGGTTTCAGTCCAAATATATATGCAAGAGGAAATCAATTTACCAACCACATTATCTACGTTTGTTAGTTAAACTATAATACGGTAAATTTGGTTGAATTTTAGTCGAACTAATGTGTCAACATACATTTAAAAAAGCCAACATGTATATGTATTGATAAGTGCCGTGTAAGAGAAGATCTTTGCAGGAGCAACTGAGAGATAAAGAGCTTAGACCCAATGCACATCAAAATTGAACACAATTCAAACAACAGATGATGTTGTTTTCCACAGAGCTGGGGCCTGTTCTACGAAGCAGGATTACTGCTTAGCGAGGTAACTTTGAGGGTAAGTTCGGGGTTTCCTGTTCTACGACGCGGGTTCACTTCTTAGCGAGGCGAGTCTCCATGGCAACATATGCTGAACGGCTAACCTGCTCCGGGGCTGGTTAAATTCCAGATTGAACTCACCGAGTATAAAAACGCCGCCCACTGACCAATGAGCTCTCTCGAAAAACAGCTTGTCTGTTCTTGGAGGATCCTATAGACCTCGGTGCTCGCATTGTCCGAGGAGGAGCACTCCGGCCTGCAAGAGTTTTCAGGGACCGCACGGACCCACTTACTTCTCCGGATGACCACCTTTATGAAAGGCTCATATGACCTAAGTATCACACAAAAATGTACACATGATAGGAATGAACAAGTGAATGAATTCATCGTGGAAATAAATGGGCATGGGCTGCATGGGCTGTGTGATCACAGACAACATCTCAGTACTATTTAGTAGCAGCGCTGCGCATGCCCCTTGTAATAACCCCCGTAAATACTGTTGTTCAGGACTGCTAACTTGTGCTTCTTACCCACTGTAATAACCGTTGTTCTAGTCCACATGCAACATTTTTGTTCTCATTCACGAAACGCTTAAATCGGGGGCATTTTCGGGGACAGCTTTAGCCGGGGACAGATCATCCAATTCGGCGACTGTCCCCAGAAATCGGAGACGTCTGGTCACCTCAGTTAAAAGCACATGTTGAACAGTGCTATTTCAGGGTGATAATGGCATCAAAGATTAATTTTCTGCAAGCATTCAGTCCGTGCATTTGCAGCGGCGACGGTGTTGCTTTTGAGGTTTATGATAGATTTCAATTCTTCACACTTTCTCATGATCGTCTCCTGCTCCTCGTTTGTAAAGTACGCGGTCCTTCCCCCCCGGCCTGCTCTGACGCTGCAGACCGGTCCATGTTCGCGATTGGTCAGATGCGGCAGGCTCCGCCTTACATGCGTGGACGCGCTCATAGCAAAGCTGGATCAACTTACGAGGTTGTTAACCAGCGTCGTAAGACCATTTAGCGAGACCACTGGCTACCTTGCTAGGTTGAACTTGCTTCGTAGAACAGGCCCCTGGTGTCCTTAGACAGCGTGGCTAATGACATGCAGTCTTGTGAATACTTCATATGCATGGATTCACTCAGCTGTTACAGATTTAAAGGTCCCATGGCATGCCAATTTCACATAACTTTAAATAGTCCCCTTGTGTGTTAAAGGGGACCTGCCATCAAAATTTCATACCCATTTTAATCATTTTTTCATAATCCTTGATGTCCTCTGATCATGTTTGCAACATAATTTTAGCTGAAAAGTTATTGGATGGTTTGTTTTAGTATGCCTAAAAAACCTTACAGGAAAACCAACTGATTTTGGCTCATTAACATTTATGGTAATGAGCTTTGCTCTGATTGGATCGCTGCTGTGAAGCCTGCTGTGCTCTGATTGGCTCAGCAGTGGAGGTTTGGATTTCGGTTTATCAATTTTGCTAATATGTGCTAAAGTAAGGTGCCCAGATGTCTGTAATAAAATCCGGGGATTTTCGGTGCAGCGGCAGCGGGTGCAGGGGCTGCAGGGGCTGCAGGGGCTGTGTGATCACAGACAAAATCTCGGTACTATTTAGTAGCAGCACATGCCCCTTGTAATAACCCCCTTAAGAACTGTTGTTCAGGACTGCTTACTTGTGCTTCCTACCTATTCGGCTACTGTAATAACCTTTGTTCGAGCCCACATGCAACATTTTTGCTCTCATTCATGAAACGCTTAAATCGGGGACATTTTTGGGGACAGCTTTTGCCGGGGACAGGTCATCCAATACGGGGACTGTCCCCGGAAATCGGGGATGTCTGGTCACCTTATGCTAAAGGCTGAAAATGGCAGGTATTAAACCATATATTTTAGACCCCGAGTCCGAAGAGGAGGTTCGAAGTTGAAGAAGAAGCCAGAGATCTCCAGCGGCGTTTTCATTCTTTCTGCACGGCTTTAAGTTCATTTTTCCGGCAGTGAACCCAAGGAAACACCGTTCGTTTGGAAGAGACCCATAGCAGATACAGTGGTAGCTGGGTCTCGCTCTGGCTGGTGACTGAGTACAAGAACGGGAGAGTGGGCGCGGCTCACCGAGGATGCGCTCGTGAATAATAATGAGCAAGGTCTGCACGACGTCAGAGGGACCTGCTTTTTCAATTGGCCTGGTTTACACGTTTCTTTATTTTAAACCTTCACAGAATGCAAACGACGTAACGGTTTGTTTTCACATTTACAACATAAGATGAACATAATATGGACCTTATCTGACACTAAAAACACAGAAAATTACATTTTGATGGCAGGTCCCCTTTAAAAGCATGTCTGTGACGTCCTTCAGTCAAAATTCGATTTGATCAATTATTTTAGTGCTCTTTTTATCAGCTAAAAACAGCTCCGCTCAAAATCCTCCGTTTTGGGCCATGTCTCTTTAATGAAGTGAGCTGCACCTAAGCCACGTCCACTTTACACCCATCTCTCTGGAAGGGGCTGTGGTTGTGCTCAGATAGTCATGTGCTAATGTTTACACTGGCTCGGTCATGGCTGCAAGAAGATCGTTCTTCCAACCCTACCAGTTTGAGCCAGAGTCTGACTCTGAGGGAGAGGCTCTGGTAGAAACTCTCAGCCGCGTTCAGACCAAACGCGACTCGAAGCGACCTAGTCGACACATCCCATGTATTATTCAAAGCCGCCAGGAGGGTCACGCTTAAGGAGGAAGATATGAATGTAGAAAAAATTACAACCCGAGCTCTGCTACAATGTAAGATTTTTGTGCTCTAAAACTTCTCTGAAGCCTTTGCTAATTAATAGGATGGATGACTGTCCAGCATTAGCCGAGACGCCCTGTATTTGAGCCAAAAGAGGCGCGTCGCCGCACGGGTAAATGCTAAAGCTACATGTTGCTCCGGAGGGGGGTTTTGTCCCCCGCTGGCGGAGTTGTCGGGGAAGAAGCGAGCAGCTAAAATACGAGAGGATCCGGTAAAGCGGCGCAGATCCGGTGTGTTTATCAAAGCGTGGTGGCCGTGCTGAGGCACCGGGGGGATTTTAGGCTAAACAGTGAGTCTAAATAAAACGTTCACACTTACAGATGCCACGTTTGTAGTCAGATCACGGATAGTTGGTACGGATCCATTCTTTATCTTCAGAAATCTAGCAAATCCAGCATTGAACTGTCCCTCGTTGATAAAACAGTCCGAAGTGAAATGGTGCGCACATACGTACAGATATTTTGGAAGTGCCGCGGGTACATTCCCATTTTAAATAAAATCCACCCACTGAGTCCTCAACTCCTCCGACGTAGGAGTTTTCAAAAGAGTTTTGTGCTTGTTTGAGCAGCCAACAACATAGCAAACGCTGCCTCTTTTTCAGATCATACTTTCCCCATGGTTCTAACTGGAGCTATGCGAGCGAGCGGCCGGAAAAAATGCTGCTGTTTTGATAATTTAGTGGGCAGGGCAGTAGGCGGCTCCATGGGCAGTACCATCAACCCGCCAGCACTGACATGACGTCATGTCAATGGAGTTTTCAGAACGGCCGGCTCTGAGCACACAGTTCCTAAATACGGAGATAACTACAAAACGACTGGATGGATTTTTCTCAAACTTGGGGGGGATTGTAGCGGTTTTCTATCCCTGATATGCACCCCCCTCCCGTTAACAAAGTCAGTTTTTCATGCCATGGCCCCTTTAAGAACTCCAGAAAAAGCCTGAAAACATGAACTAAATAGGTTTTACTGGAAAATGTTACATCCACTCAGCTTAATAATAATAATAATAATAATAATAATGATAAAAAACAGACAACTGTCCTTTTTTTTCCATTTAATCTGTCACTGGTGCAATGTCTAGCTGACGTTGCGCCTACATGACGTGTGTTTGCGTGTTTAGATTATGTTATAGCCCCCTTGAGAAAAATGCACCACCATCTCAGAAACAAGCTCAGTCCCACCTTTAGTTTATTCAATCTAAAGTGTTATATTATCATTTTGAATGAAGTTCACTTAAATGGAAGCTAAGATGTCAGATATCACGTAAGGTAAAGGCAAACAGGGTGAGCCGGGAAGTGAAGGTATAGTTTGGAGCTTTGAGTTTATCACTTACAAAAAGTTAGTTTAATAAAAATCTCATTTTCACATGTTCTCTTATGCTTCAGGTCTAAACTGGGTCATGAGGATTATTTTTGAGTCCTCCACCAGTACAGCTTGTTTGTAAACCATGACTGTTTCTGCTTATTTTTGGTCTGCTGTTTCTGTTTCTTCTTAACTGGAAACAGTAACTTAATTGTTGTGTCTAATTACAGGCATACCAAGTGTTGGTATTGTTATTTGGATCTTACACACACACACACACTTCTAAAGTTATCTACTGTAATGGAGCAGTTTTGATTGCATTTATTCATTATTCATTGTCAGTCTCACTCCAGAGCTGATTCCCACGGCAGCACAAACACAAACAGGCGATGCACATGCACGGCTGACACGGCTGTCAGAGCTGAGAGCATGTGTTCACTGAGGACCTGCCTCGGCTCCCAAGATGAGAATTAACAAACGCTACAAGGAATTAGTGTTTCTTGGCACTGTACAAATTAACTTGTTCTGCTCCGTCTCTCTGCGATGCATGCTGCTCCTTGATACGACTCCATTTGGGTGCTTTAGTATGTGTGTGTGTGTGTGTGTGTGTGTGTGTGTGTGTGTGTGTGTGTGTGTGTGTGTGTGTGTGTGTGTGTGTGTGTGTGTGTGTGTGTGTGTGTGTGAAAGAGAAAAGGAAGAAGGACAGAGAGAGAGAGAGAGTTTCTCATGTGTGTGCTGGAGTGTAAAAAAAGAGGCAGTTTGACTGTGTGTGTCTCAGTGGATTAACAGAAATTCACCGAGCTAAAGCCTGATGTCAGATGAATTTGTCTGGTTAATTTTTTCTGGACTGGAACAATATAAGCAACAGAGACAAGCTAAGAGTGCAAACACACACACATTTAGAAACACTGTACACACACCTGCAAACACAACATATACACATCTAATAGAGAGGCAGCTAGTGTTTCCTGGTGCAGGCATGCACACTCTTTCAAACATGCTGCACTTCAAACACACACAAACTCTGTTGTTTTACAGATTTGTGTCTGTGTGTGTGCATGTGTGTGTTTAGTTATGAGTGTGGTCTCTAACTCCCTCAAACCTTTTCTTTCTGTCATGTACCCAGCTACACTCCTGCTTCCACCAAAGGAAACATAGACGAACTGCAGTTTAGTTGCAGGTCTAATGAAACCATGTAAGCGGTGGTTAGGTTTAGGGTTGGATGATGAACACCACCTTTGAGATCTAGAGATCCAGCTTTTTTTATAGTCAATTTCTACCATCTGTCAGTATGTACACAGGAATTGAAAATTAAGTTTCTCTCCAGCCCATGGTGCAGAAATGCAGAGAATATTAATAGTAAAAATAACAAATACAAATAAGTATAATAAAGAAGTTGCAGTTCTGCAGAAAGTAGTACATTGCATGAAAATATTTGGTGTCATTTTTCACACTCAGGATTTGACCCAAGCTAGAGTGTTTTATGTTGCCATTATAGAAGTTGATGTTATTCCCATTTTTTTAAAATCTTTTTAGTCTACGATCTGGACAGTTAGCCGAAGAATTTTGCCTCAGTATTCTTTCTTTCCTCAAAGTCTACTCAAACACTAACTGTAGTTCAAGAAGATAAGAAACTCAACGCCAGTTTCAGGAGAAACCTTTAATGTCTCAGTAATGTGTCATCATTTATTTGTCCTGCTGAGTGTCTGAGTTTTCTGGCATTACTCTCATGAAGTATTACTAAGCCAACAGTATAAATAACATGTATATAAACATAAATAGGAGCAGAAAGATGTAATTGCGGCATTTTTAAGTTGTCACTGATATAGACACCAAACCAAAAATGTCAGTTACATTAAGCATCATTCTTATTCCCATGCAAGATAAATATAACTTCAGATTTATATAACACAGCTCAAGAATGGGGTTGAAATGTTAACATTTCATATAAACTTTGGATTGTTGTTCCTCCAGGTTCGGTGCTGTTGAGGTTCATGACGCGTAACCGCTGTAACAGGCTGCTCTGCCAACAGGTTATGAGCCCAGAGAAACCTAGAGACATTGTCACAGCAGCATGTTTCCACTGTGCCGGTGATGATAGCATGTTGCTCGCACCATGAGCGGACGAGCAGATACGAGTGGCCGCCACAGCAGTCACTGGTTGTGGCTCCTGTTTGATGGAGACGAAAAGAATTATGAAATATGGAAGGCGAAATTTTGGGCCACCTTCGTTTGGAAGGGTAAAAGGACACAATTTTAACAGAGCCCACCACTGAGGACACGGATGAGCTGCTTGAAGATGCGGGAAAGAATGCGGAAGCCTGTGCAGAACTCGTTCAGTTTTTGGACGACAAAAGTTTGTCGCTGGTGATGCGGGAGGCTGCCAACGAAGCCGAAATTGTAAGAGACTACTATTGAGGTAAAGGAATGCCATGCATCATAAGCCTCTATACAGAATTGACTTCACTCCAGAAGTCAGAGAGTGAAAGTGTGACTGAGTACGTGATCAGGACGGAGACTGCAATCACAGTACTAAGAAATGCCGGTGAAACATTAAGTGACAGACTTTTGGTAGCAATGGTGTTGAAAGGTTTGCTGGAGTCCTTCAAACCATTTGTGATCCATGTCACACAGCGTGATGACACAATATCTTTGGCTGAATATTAAAGGGGACCTGCCATCAAATAATTTTGTGTGTTTTTTGTGTCAGATAAGGTCCATCTTATGTTCGTCTTATGTTGTAAATGTGAAAACAAACCGTTACGTCGTTTGCATTCTGTAAAGGTTTAAAATAAAGAAACGTGTAAACCAGGCCAATTGAAAAAGCAGGTCCTTCTGACGTCACGCTGACCTTGCTCATTATTATTTACGAGCGCATCCTCGGTGAGCCGCGCCCACTCTCTCGTTCTCGTACTCAGTCACAGTCAATATCACTCTCCAGCCAGAGCGGGACCCAGCTACCACTGTATCTGCTATGGGTCTCTTCCAAATGACCGGTGTTTCCTTGGGTTCACTGCTGGGAAAATGAACTTAAAGCTGGGCAGCATGAATGAGAAAACACCGCTGGAGATCTCCGGCTTCTTCTTCAACTTCCACCTCCTCTTCGGACTCGGGGTCTAATATATATGGTTTAATACCTGCCATTTTTACCCTATAGCATAAGGGGACCAGACATCCCCGATTTCAGGGGACAGTCCCCGAATTGGATGACCTGTCCCCGGCAAAAGCTGTCCCCGAAAATGTCCCAGATTTAAGCGTTTCATGAATGAGAGCAAAAATGTTGCGTGTGGGCTCGAACAACAGTTATTACAGTAGCCGAATAGGTAGGAAGCACAAGTAAGCAGTCCTGAACAACAGTTTTAAGGGGGTTATTACAAGGGGCATGCACTGCTACTAAATAGTACCTAGATTTTGTCTGTGATCACGAAGCCCCTGCAGCCCCTGCACCCTCCCCGCCACCGCACCAAATATCCCGGATATTATTACAGACATCTGGGCACCTTACTTTAGCACACATTAGCAAAATGGATAAACCGAAATCTGAACCTCCACTGCTGAGCCAATCAGAGCACAGCAGGCTTCACAGCAGCGATCCAATCAGAGCAAAGCTCATTACCATAAATGTTAATGAGCCAAAATCAGTTGGTTTTCCTGTAAGGTTTTTTTGGCATACTAAAACAAACCGTCAAATAACTTTTCAGCTAAAATTATGTTGCAAACATGATCAGAGGACATCAAGGATTATGAAAAAATGATAAAAATGGGTATGAAATTTTGATGGAAGGTCCCCTTTAAAACAAAGTTACGCAGCTACGGGGACACAGAGAAGATGCGCACAGCAGCGGATGACAATGTGATGAATGTGCGGCAGCGGAGAGGGAGACTTGCTAGGACAGGTGACCGGGGAGCCGAGAGGTATGCGGCGGAGATGGTGTGCTTTAAATGCGACATGAAGGGACACCTGGCCAGAACCTGCTCTGGTGCAGCCACTGCAAGAGCAACACACACCGGGACATGACCTGCAGACAGAAACAGAGGCAGAACTGAGACAACGCACAAAAGGTTTCCTGGGAGACAGCTGACCAGGACAAGGACTACGTCAGCAAGGGAGCAGTAGGACTGAACGTGAGGGGCCTGTTGATCGACTGCGGGGCAACCTCGCACATCGCCATAGACCTCACAAAGTTTAAAAGGTTTGACGACGGGTTGCAGGCCAAGACACACTGTGTGAAGCTGGCGGACGGTGCAAGGGCGTTGCAGAGTGCCGAGGCGGTGCAGAAGTCTGTCTGATTGACATTAAAGGAAGACACCTGAAAACAACGCTGAGGCAGGTGCTGTATATCCCATCTTACCCACAGGACATTCTGTCATTGAAAGCAGCTACTGCTAACGGGGCAACAGTGATCTTCAAAAAGGGGAAAGATGTTCTGATCCACAAAGATGGTACCAAATTCCACATACATGTACATGATAGACTATATTATTTACACACAGTAAACAATAATGACGACAATGAATATGATGATCAATACAAGGGATGTCATGATATGCAGACATGGCACGAGATTCTTGGACACTGCAATTGCAATGACATCCAGAAGTTACAAGATGTTGTGGATGGTATGAAAATTAAGGGTTCAATAGACAGACCTCTACACTGTGAAGTGTGCACTCAGGGAAAGTTTTACCAAACGAGAAACAGAGACCCTGATGTGAGGGCTTAAAACCCCTCTAGAGCTAGTACACACAGATTCGGCTTGGTCAATCCACACAGAGTTGAGAGATGGGTACAGATTTGCACCTTAATTTACTGATGACTTTTCCAGTACAGTGTTTGTGTATTTCTTGAAGAAAAAAAGTGATGCAGTTCTAGCTACAGAGAAGTTTTTAGTTGAATCTGCTCCATACGGCAAAGTGAAATGCTTCAGAATTGATAATGGTACTGAATTCACAGGAAAAGCATACCAGGGATTGCTCATAAAAAATGCAATCAGACATCAAACATCAGCACCATATTCTCCCCATCAAAATGGGACTGCTGAGTGCAAATGGCGCACACATTTTGACATGGCGAGGTGCATGCTAATTGAAAGCGGTTTGCCAAAACAACTGTGGACTTATGCAGTCTAGACCACAGAGCAGACACCAATCCAGATGTTGACAGTAAGACGACCAAATTTGTCTAAAATGCAAAGATTTGGATCAGAGTGCTTTGCTTATACACAAGACAAGAGAAAATTTGATCCAAGGTGTGAAAAGTGTGTTTTTATCGGGTACGACAAAAACAGTCCTGCATATATTGCATATATTGTCAGACAGACACTGACTAATTTTGCGCCTGAGGATGAGGACAATGTTAAAGCAGAACAGGAACCTGAAGTCAGCCACCACCAACCACAGGCAGTTGAGGTCAAGTGTGAGCCTGAGTCTAACCATTACCCTTCAAGAGAGAGGAGTAGGCCAGATAGATACACAGAGTAATATAGATTACTGTTATCGAGTGATGTGTAACATACCTTTGTCATTTACAGAAGCTGTAACATCAGATAAATCAAGAGAGTGGGTCAAAGCTATGGATGAAGAAATGCATTCACTTAGGGAGAACAACACATTTACCCTGACCAACCTGCCTGAGGGCAAGAAAGCAGTGGGGGGTAGATGGGTGTATGCTCTAAAAACCAATGCTGATGGAGCCGAAAAATACAAGGCCCAATATGTTGCTAAGGGGTACAGTCAAAAGATGGGTGTGGATTATGAGGAGACATTTTCTCCTACAGCTAACATGACTAGTGTCAGAGTTGTGCTGTCAGAAGGTAGTCCAAGAAAATGTGATCTTACACCAAATGGATGTTAAGACTGTCTATTTAAATGCCCCTATAGACTGCGAGATTTACATGAAACAGCTGGAAGGGTACAGGGTAAAATCTCACACAGACAGAAAGTTGTTGTGTGAGCAAGAGAGGTCACTGTATAGGCTAAAACAATCGGGCAGGAATTGGAATAATGAATGAATGAATGAATGAATGAATGAATGAATTGCTTTATTGTCATTGTACAGCTGCACAACGAAATTGCATTTACAGAAGGGGAAAGTACACACAAGAGGAGGAGGTAAAAAAAAGAAACAGCTCTCATTAATATGAGTGCTGTGACAACAAAAAACCCACAGCAACATGAGCACATTACTAACGCCACATACACAGAGATTCGTAGACATGCTATGGTTGTTGAGGGAGGTGGGGAGTGGGATGGGTCAACAGTGGTGGTGGGAAGTCCCACAGCCGCTGCCGTAGGCGCCGCCATTCAGGGTACCGCCCACTGCACTGAGGGGGTGAAGCGTCGAAGGCGTTGGATGGGGGAGAGGTGAGTGTGTTCGTATGTGCATGAGTGTTGTGAGGGTTCATGGATGTGTGTGTGCGTAGGCCCAGGAGGTCACTCCGACCATCGCCACAATCTTGGTGACCTTGATTGGGTTCCAGACGAAGTCAACAATCCGCAGGTGTCCGTGAAAGAGGGGGTTGGGGAGGAAAGTTCAGAGCGTCGAATTGCTGAGATCTCCTGGAGGAGTTGTGCCGGCATCGGCCATGGCCAAGGCCGATCCGAGGGAGCCGAATAAGAGATTAGGTTGTTTGGGTTAGGGCGAGTAGCCGCATTCCAATAGACTTCAGCTACTCTAATTGTCCATCCTGGTCTCTGTATCGATCCATTTTCTTATGCAAAGTCGCAAGCCTCTCCAAGATGATATCTCCCTTACGATCCACAGTCATGACTTTTTGGTCAAGACCGAACGCAGTCCCAGAAAGAGTTCCTACGGCTTTGCCCACCTCATAAATCATGTTGTTGTTACATGAGTATTTGACACAAAATAAGTTTCTACAAAACCAGGCTGATCACTGTGTTTACACATGAGAAAGAGAAGGTGAGTATGTGGTTATGGTAATTTGGGTCGATGACTTAATAATTGCAGCAAGTGATGAAAATGCTATGAGGGCTACAAAAGACATGCTTACCGCAAAGTTCAAAATAAAGGATCTAGGCAAACTAAGACATTTTCTTGGTATTGATTTTAAACAAAGCAACAACTGTGTAACAATGTCTCAAGCAAAGTATGTTGAGAAAAACCTTAAAAGGTTTAACATGCATGACTATAAACTCAGATTAACACCTTGTGAACAGAAACTGAACTACACAGATGATGCTACATTGATGAATGATGTTTCAAAATACAGAGAGGCGGTAGGAAGTCTGATTTATTCGACTGTTTGTACAAGATCTGATTTAAGTTTCATTGTGAGCAAACTGTCATAGTATTTTAATGCACCTACTGATCAGCATTTTGGGACAATCAAACATGTGCTTAGGGACGAGTGATGAGAAGTTGTGTTATAGAAAATCTGATGAGAACCTGGGTATCCACGCCTACAGTGATGCAAACTGGGCTGGTGATGTAAATGATCGACGAAGTATGACTGGGTATTGTGTAAGCCTGACTAAGAGCGGCACTCTGGTGTCGTGGAAGACAAAAAAGCAGCCTACTGTAGCACTGTCTACCTGTGAGGCGGAGTATATTGCTCTGGCTGCAACCATCCAAGAGTGTTTGTACCTCACACAACTTTAAGGTGGCATTGATAAACATGTATATACATTACCCAGGGTGTATGAAGATAACCAAGGCACAATTACTTTAGCTAAGAACCTAGTTAGTTGGCAGCGATGTAAACATGTGGACATTAAGTACAACTTTATACCTTCTACTGTGACTGATGGTGAAGTATTATTAGTGTAGCAGAGACAACCAGTTTCTTATCCCAACTCCCCCAAAAGAATGTAAGGCTTACATCTGCCCACCGGAGACGAGATGGTGTAAACCTTTAACACCAAATCACAATCCTTCTACAACCTTCTGTCTCTATACAAGATAACCAACGAAGCCTTCCCAAAACACAAACTTTCTTTCCTTTCTACTTCAAAGAGACAAAGACACTGTTTATGGCCAATAAGAAAGAACTGCAGGACCACTCAATTAGATAAGCATCTGTCATCACACCTTGACTGGGAAGCGTTAGGTTTATCAGCTCAGCCATAAATCCTACATTTGGTTGATTTTTCCCGAGTACAGTCGAAAGAGAATAACTACAACTAGTCCAATTACAGGTCTGATGGACACGACACCATGATCTTCTGTCAGTACTCAACATGTGCAGAATAAATCCTTTAGTCTAAAAGTTCCTTGAGATCAACAGCTTTCCAAAGTTATGTTTGAATTACAACCCTATTCTAGTAAGACTAGTGTAGAAATGTTTAGTTTATCTCTTAATCATTTGTTTAGCTTTGTTAACCATTAGGTAGTTATACTGTTAACTAATAATCTGAATGTTGGTTTGTAATCCGTTATTAACTGTTTATTAACATGTGTTTATCCTTGTGTTGCTCACAGTTCATGTATTAATATGTGTTTCATTTCAAAGTAATGTAGCATGATCAATGTTCTTTGAAAAGTGATACTCAAAGCATAATGAGAATGTTTGTTAATGTGATTCTACAATTCTTTATATGTGTTTAGCATTAAATTATTTAATATGAACCAAGCATTTCTTAACATTAATCTTAGTGAGTGAGTATTCGATCTGACTCTTTTACTAGCCAAAGTATAAGTTGGATCAAACAACCTGGGGCCTCATGTATCAACGCTTGCGGCGCAAGAAAACCTTGCGTACGCCAAAATCGGCGCACACGTCCAGATTTATCATCGCGAAACGAGCGTCGGTTCCAGCGCTAATAAACGCAAAGTCAGGAGGTGGTGTAGAAATTGGCGTTGAGCCGATACTTGCGTTGACTGTGATTCGCACTTTGGCGACGCTGTGTGGCGGTGTTTGGTGACTCACTATGTGACAAGCGTGCACCACATCCCCGTGGCCGAGCAGCACGTCGCCCCACATGACGAACCAGCAGCAGACGGAAGGATGCGAGCTGATCCCTGCCGGGCCGCCGTCCTCGCACGGGAGAATCTCATCGCCACAGTGTGAATGGGTAAGAAGTGAATACACAGTTCAATGAGCCAAATTAATTTATTTTCTCCACCAGACGCTCGAGGACATTTACGAACCGGTCCAGCCGCTCGTTTATCCCCGCGATCCCCCTGATGATTTCTTCCTGCGATTGCAGGACCCCCTCCGTGAGGACCCTTCCACTGCGTCCGGGTGGTCCAGCGGAAGCGCCGCGGCTGGTGGACGCTCCACCGCTTGTCGGCGCGCTGGTGCTGGTGCTGGGGCCGGGGGCCGGGGTGGCCCGAATGCCGCTGGTCCTGGCCGACGACTCCGAGCCGGCGGACGGGCTGCCGTGGGCCGGGGTTCCGCAAGCCGGCGACACGGCCGACACATTGATTTCTGTGACACAATAAAAATATTGGTTCATTTCAATTCCTGCTTCTGTGTATCTGTTGCGTTTACATCTCTCTCCACGGTATCATAGGTAATGTAATCCAGTATTTAGAGGTCAGTTATGCACATTACAGTTGTTTATTGCATAAAAAGTTATCGAAAAATGAAGTTAAGGGCGAAGTATAAATCACGTCTAAAAATAGACTGAATCCCGACGTTGAAATGAAGTATAAACTTAGACTAGACGTCTAATATACGTCTTTTGCTCAGTGGGATGACAAAGCATGTGGACATTTGTGTGACACGCCACTTACCCTATAATAATAATCGCCACCAAACGGCGTGAGGGTCTCCTCCCCCGGACCCCCACTTGTCTGGCCAGTACTCCTCCGGAGGGCAGCTGTACGCCGCTTGACCTCCACCTTGAGGTCCTACCACTTTTTTTTAATCTTCGCGGGGGTGCGTGTCTCGGAACCCACCGCATTCACCCTCTCGCAAACTTTCTCCCACTCCAAGCGTTTTTGTTTTGCACTGACGCCACTGGACAGGCTGCCGAACAAAACACGCTGTCGCTCCTCCACCTCCGCCACCAGCACCTCCACCTCGCACGCCGTTAATTTAGTTTTTCTTGTCATTTTGTCTGCGTGCGAGGACAGGGAGACCCTATTTAAATAAATCTGCATATTTATAGGAGGGCGTAACGGGGACGGGCCCAGTCACTCCGACATCTGTGCTCAATTCCACGCTGTTTGGGATTTATCAAGGAAACACACGTGGATTTCGGCGCCCGCACACATTGATACATACGGATTTTTTTCAGCGTGACGGACCTTGCGTGCGCTCGTTTCTGGTATGAGTTCCACGCAAGTGTTGATACATGAGGCCCCAGGGCTCTTGAAAGTCTCCTCTCAGGAAGCTGCAGCTGGAGATCAGTACCCCCTCCCTTCTTTCCTCACACCTTAGAGACACTCCCAGTCTGAAGAGTATAAAACCAGTAAAGCTGGGGTGCTTGCTCTCTCACATTCCCCTTGCCTTTTTCTCTCTTGCCTTTTGCTCTTCACACTCTTGTTTTCCTTTTTGTTTCCGCTAAGTTTTCCACCACATGTTCATTCACTTTAATTTTTCTTTAACATTGTCTTAGTTCAAGTTGCGAAACTTTAACTTTTGTGCGCATAGCAATTCAAGATTAAGCCTTTAATTGGTTTTTCTTTAATTTTGCAAAGACATTTTTGAAATGCCAGTTTCAACTGGTCATTGAGCCTCTTTCCTTGGACTTGATCGTCAAGTCACCTCTGAATGCCACCCAGCAGGCCCAAAGTCATCCTCTGAGCCAGTGTGTTGCAGTGAGGCCAAAAGAGCATTAAAAGGATAAATAAAGCACTGGTTTTTGCATTCAGGCCTGTGCGCTGTGACTCCTGGCCCGTCCTTCGTCTGACTTTGGTCCTCTTCTGAGCTGAACCTCTCGAACCGGTAGCGTGGACCTTCTGAACCTGCTCCATCCTCTCCAAGGACCAGCCTCACTTAAGTATCCAAACCTCCAGAGCTCCAAACAAGGCCGATGCTGTCTCATGCATTCAATTCAGATAACCACATCCAAATTTATCTTTACACTGAAGTTAATGTAGGTTAATATGTTAGAGCAAATTCACTCATTATCATTAACTTTAGTAGTCTTAGCCTGACTCAGAATCTTTCATTCAAATAAAGAAAAAAAAAATATCCTTCTTGTTGTTTTCTTTTTTGGTATTGTAATCATCACTCCCACGTTTGCCCGGCCGAATGCTCTCTGTAAATGTGACTTTTGTCAATGAGGGGGAGATGACACCTTTAAGGGTAGATGCTTCGGTGACTTAATTCATTCTCTTTAAGTGTCCGGGGATTTAAACTAAAAGCAAAACAGAAGTGTTTATTTTACTTTGATAATCTGAAAACGTCTCACCACTGGAAACTTTCTCCATCTTGAAACTGGAAGAGCTCTGTTGATAAAGCAAGGAAATAACCTGAAAGGCAAGCTAATAACGCAGTTAAGGGACAGTGTTTGTACCTTCAGAACAGATTTCTCTTTGCGTTATCAATAAAATAAAATCAAGCAACGCTAAGCTGCTCTGTTGCTATTTCGGTTCCCCTCTGATTAGACACCATACGGCAAACACACAGAGACAGAGGATTTTTTCAGTGGTCCGTCAGCACATCCATGCAGGTCTATAGAGAGTTGTCCTGCTGTGTTTGATGTTCACACTGAAAGCTGTAAAAACAGATAGAGAACAGGATTTAAAATCACATTTCTGTGGAGCTCAAATAAACACTCCTGAGTTCTTCAAAAAGCTCAGACTCAGAGACTGGGCTGTCTTCACCACAGCCAAAGGACGAGAACTGTTTCATTTGTGAGTCAGAACAGAAAGAATCACCTCATCACCTGCATGCCTGACAAACAGGATGTGATGGGTTCACAGTTGTTCCCACAGGAAGATGTTTCAGGGTCACAGCGGGTGGTTTGGGGCAGGATCTGATAGTGATGATGGATTTTATTCAGAGCCACACCTGTGCACCACAAAGTGGCTGTTCCTCATGTTTTCCCACCTCCTGCCCTGTGTGTGACATCACCGCTGCTTCACTTCCTGGCATAGCTGTCCCGGCGTCAGGCTCAAGGACGGTTTGGACACTGAGGCTCCCAGGAAGAAGTCTGTTTCCTGACCTGACTCAGAAGAGTCCAACAGTTTGAAACAAGGGGAAACAGGACACAAAGGGGGACAGAGACACGCAAGACTTCATGTTGAGTTATCGGAAATGAAAGAAATGGAGTGTTTCTTCAGGAAAATATATCCATTCTTCCCCTTTGAAATATTTCAGTCCTGATGGTTGAAAAACATTGAGCGAATTTCCTTCAGGCTGTATGATGGTGAGTTTGCCGAGCCAACAGACTGCTGATTGGCTTATAAGGTTGTTTCCATTTGATTGACAAGTGGGATAACAAGATGCTAGGCCACAGCATTTGCTTTCACAATATCATAAAGGAATCACAACTCAATTCGGCCATAAGTGACTTGTGACTTGGACCTCATGACTCTTAAAAAAACAGTTAAACCTGACAGAACTTTTCACCAGAGTCAACCTTATTTTAGCTGTCCAAGAAGATCCAGTCACATGACAAAACAAACCAGGAAGGTGCGGTTGGGTTGGGTTAATCAAAACCAGAGCTGTTGAAGGGTTAGGAAGTTAACAAGAGCAACACAAACATGATTCCAAAGATCATTTAGGGGCCTTTCTCACCCAAAGTCCGCTTGGAAGGTCTGGATCACTAAATCTTTACATCATTGCATTTTACATGTGGTCTGGTTAGCACATGACTTTTGCTGATGAGAAAACGAGATGGTTCATCTCAAGGGGCTATCCTATAATTAATCAGAATTTACGCAAACCAAATGGTTAAAAAAAGAGGGAAAATTACAAGGGGAAATCACTGTCTGTCACCTGCTCATTTGGGGCACAATCTTCATTGTCCCACAATGCACAGAGAGTAGCCAACAAGAGGAAGGCATCTGGCTTTACGCAATTCACCAGAGTTGGTGAAGACATTGGGCGAGGAGACACTGGGCATGAATGCAAAGTAATGCTTATAACATATTGTCAGTGTGTTTGTTGAACAGAAGAACACTCAGGTATTTAATATTTATCACCCGACTAGTGTATTAGAACACAAACCCTCTGCCATTCATCCAGTTTTACAGATAGTCTGGTGTTTTGACCGGCTGTTCTTCATCTGCTGCAACCGGCCAGGCACAATTTCCCTGCTTTATTACAGTGTAAATGTGTTATTGGATTATATTGACATAGAAAAGTCTGGCTGCATCAGTGCTGCATTCACGCCCACCCCGGACAGAACCATGATTCGTTTGGAAGGGGAACAAGTCCTGAATTTTCAAGAGGACCACGGTCCGTTTGTTTGATCCGGACGACGTTTCACTTGCGTGTTCATACTACCTAGACCAAAAGAGTGAGGGGACCATGGTCCTTTTAGAGCGCCCTTAGTTGGTGTGCAGAAACTATGAGGTGGTCAACAAAAAAAAAAATCTGTGATGATGTTTTCCCTTTGCAATCAGATTAAAATCATAGAGTTTATAGATAGTTTTCAAGCTTGAATGTTGCCTCAACTTTAGCAAGTTCAGGACCCTGAGCCCATTTGACCACTGACATATTGAACAACACCATATTTCAAAGTTTAGTGTCATCATACAAAAGTACAGCCAGTCATGATGTGGGGCATTTCTAACAGGCGTGGGACCCAGAGCCAATCCATCTAGCAAGGCACATCTGAAACCTACAGCAGAACATGAATCCTCCCTGTGACTAGGTGTAGATGAGGCAGAGCAGAGGTGAATATATCCGGCCTTGAAAAGACAGTACGTAAACGCCTGATGACTTAGTCCCACCTCTGATCAAACATAGAGCGGGTCAAAGTTTTACATTTCAGATTCCTCTTCATTTCTCTTCTAAGTGAACAAAACTGTCACCATGGTGATTTCGGCGGGTTCATCTAGTAAAAGAAGAAAAGTTCTTAAAAACTGTGTCTTTTTATTATTAAAATACATTGTGTGTGTGTGTGTGTGTGTGTGTGTGTGTGTGTGTGTGTGTGTGTGTGTGTGTGTGCGCGCATGCCTATGGATGTGGGAGTCTGTAGAATGAAAGAAAACCATTAAACAATTTTACAGACAAAACCCTTGTTTTTGGTAACACAAAGAGGTTTTGTTAAAGAATAAAAGTGGCCTGTTTTCTAGCTCTGATGGGGTGATGAAGAGGCAGAGGAGGGCGGAGGCAGGGAGATGGGGTAGTAGGCCAAAGATTATCTTTGATAACACACACACACAGACAAGCTCTACTCTGACCATCACAGTCTGGATTTGGGGGGCCTCAGCAGTCTCTGTGTGGGTGTGTACAGGTCAGCAAGGAGGAGATGGACTGTGAAAGCCTTTAGCTCAACACTGCCCTCACATGGGGGAGCAGAGAATCACACGGTCAGCTTTAGTATAGGAGACAGTCTGTTAATATCTTCACTTTAAAAGATGAGTGTCTCTTCATATCCATTACAATATGACCACTATTATTCAAGCTTTAGACCACTCTGTCAAAGTTCCTCTTGAACTTCACAACTAAGGCTTAACCCACAAAGCTGATTCACTGTACCTGGATTACATCACCATGGCAACCAGTACCAGTATACATAACCTGGGTGGGTTTACTTCACTTCTGCACTCCAAGAAAAAAGGACTCATTCCCACAAAGTGGAAAAGGAGCAGTCATTGTCTTATAAATAAACAAAGATAAACAAAGAGCAGCATGTAACATCCTAAATAATCTTTTTTATGTTTTCATTTACAAAAATTTTACTTATTCAGTCCATCTGGACTGAATACATAAACTGCTCATGTTGCTCATGTTTATTCTGTTAATCAGGAACAGAATGTGTGAAAATCTGCCACCCAATATCACACACAGTGTAAACACAAAGAGGCTTTAGTGCATGGACTAGTTTCAGAACCACACCACTTTGAGAAGCGAAACAAATACCTGTGCAGTTCGGGGGGGGGGGGGTATGACCTCAGTAGACAATCTGTAACCAATCATCATGCTGCTGATCAAACAAATATGTGGTGTAAAATTAATATTTTTAACTAAAATGTGATGATATATTACATTTTAAATTTAACATCTGCATTTACCAAAAGCTTGATGATAATGTATGAACAGTGTTATCCTCATGATTAAACTCAAAAAGATCACAATCTACACCCTTTTTTTTTTCTTAAATTAGCTTTATGAAGTAAAAATGCCTCTGAGTTGATTTAAATTACCTACAATGCATTTTTGTATTTTGTCCACTTACGCCTGATGAGGTTGATGCTGGCAGCAAACAGATGCACAGCCCGCGTGGCTAAATGTTGGCAGGGATTTCTCATTGTTGATGGTTTTAGATACATGGTTTTCACAATGTTTAAGACCATGAAATGTTTTTGGTTGTGGAGCGGAGGGTCATCTGGTCCAATCTTATCCAGGGTAGAGTGGAACACAGCAGCAGGCTCCTGCCGCCTCTTGCACACCTTATGGCGGGGTGCCGCCACAGGATTTATTTATTTGTCCCTCCAAATTTGTATTTTTAAATTTCATATTTAGCACATATCTGCAGTGTTTGTTCATGACATGTTCATTGTTCAGTTTAAAAAATATAGTTGTGTCATGAATGGCTCTCTTCTTCCTCTCTCACACAAAGCCCAAGATGGTGAGGGTTCTGCTTAGAGAGTTGGCCATTAGCCGCTGTAGTTACAGTTCATAAATTCTACATTTTTACTGTTACAACAATAATCAACTTTGATTATGTCAAGTGATATTAAAATAAAGACTTTTATTTGAGAATAACTTTGTCTCATACACTCTCAATAACTTACACTCACTCATCATGCCCATGAAGCTGATGACGAAAACCTATTAAAGTGGCAAGAGTACAGCATGAAGAGCTGCTTACACTGCTGATGTTTCATTACCTGCAAATATTAACACTTAAAACGAAGCAAGTTCTTTATATCCCTATGATGTTCAGAAGCATAAGCCATTTGGTGTTCGGTGATAAGGCTGTAAGATCCAACAAATGTCCAACACATCATCCGTCTATCAACCTACATCCATCCAATAATCAATCCTTCCATTATCATCTATACCATCAACATGATCAACAAATCATACGGTGATAATTATGAGAGGTCCCTGAGCAACATCCCTCATGAGATTTCAATCAGCTATTTTCAGTGTTAAGAGTGAGTCAAAACTCCCCCTTAATGTGCTAAATGCTTGTTGTTACTGTGGATTCACATTTATAAATGGTGAGAAGAATGGAATATGTTAAAATGCAAATACAATGGGAGTCAAGATATATGACTGATAGGAGGGGAAACAAAATCCGATCCAAGCCGAATCCAAATTTAGCAAGCTGACTGGCTGTGTGAGAGTACAGGGTTGGGATGACGGTTTATAAAGTAAACTCCATTTTTGGATGTTTCCATGTGAGAATGACTTCACAAATCTCTCTCTATATAAGTTTGTGTTTGTTTGTGAATAAGAGAGAGAGGGGCGTTGGTAAATTGTGAGTCTGCAGCCAAAAATCAGGCAGTATGCATGCTGGCATGACTGAGAATGGGCTCCTTCCATAAGCACACACCAAATGTCCTGGCAGCACGGCTCCTCCCTACATGCCAAGTTTGTCAAAGCACAAACGTTAAGGAACAAAGCAACTCCGCTATAAATACTCTCACCCTGAACTCCTAAAACACAGTGCATTTCAGGTGTGTATTGAACAACAACTCCGGAAATTAATTAATTCATTAAACTAAACAATAAATATGCTTTTCCTTTTCATTCAAAGTGCTCCAAATCTGCATTTGGCCCACAGTTTTCTACATGTTGCTGACTCTGTATTTGCATCAATTTAGTCCGTGGAGTATCTGTTAATCACAGGTAGCCAAATCCAGGCCTCAAATTCTCCTCTTTGATTGGTTACATGTGCCACCCCAAACTCCCCTGCTATGACTGATTACATACCTTCACTGTAGGAGCAGAATATTTGTTGACTGACTGAACTCTGTATTAACAAAGCAGCAACCTCATGAAGTCAATGTGAAAGCTCTTAAAAATCTAGTTCCTCAAGTGTCCACTTGCGACTTGCTGCAAAGGCTGCAGAAGTTCCATATGAAAGTCAAAGAGCTAGTGAGCTCAAAAAGCAGAGATCAACAGCATTGGTCTCTATTAGAGACTTAAACCTAGAAGTTTTGTGCTTTGCTGCTATGTAGTGTGTCAGTGACAGTCGTTGTTGAGTAGCCACTAATGTCCTTGGCTGAGTAAATTAATCAACTGAGAAGCAAGACCATTTCCTTACAGACTTCTATACAATCAGATTCTTTTACAACCTGTGGAGTTGCCCACAGGTTGTAAAAGTATAACATTAAATAAACATTAAAAAAAGAATAACATTAAATACAACACAGTTTTTAGGTATTCATTCATAGGCTTTTGATACTTGCAGGCAGTATGTAGTCCATTTAATCAGGAATTTGCAAATGAATGCTCCTGTCACATTTTGTAACATTTGCATTTACACTTTTCTGTAATGTTTAGGAAAGTTCCCCTTTAATAATAGTTTCACATATCAGGATTACCAGCCACACTTCTTAGCACTAAAAGATGATCAAGCTAAGTGGTTCATTTGTGCCCATTGCTGCCTCATGTCGAGATGTTGCAGTTTGTCAGCTGCAGTGTTTGAAACATGTGGTTTGGTGTTTTCTTTTCTTTTTTAATAATCACCATGTTTTTTTTTGTTTTATGTGTAACTTTGTGTGTGTGTGTGTGTGTGTGTGTGTGTGTGTGTGTGTGTGTGTGTGTGTGTGTGTGTGTGTGTGTGTGTGTGTGTGTGTGTGTGTGTGTGTGTGGCTGATATCAGGGTATCAAAGCTCTCCAGGCCAAATATGAAGCTGGTAAATAAATATGTAAAAGAGAAAACAGCATTTCAAATAGTTTTGAAGGTCACTGTAATTTTCAGGAATCTTGAAAGGCTGAATATATTGTCCAATGTGTGAACAGCTCTCTGATTACTATGAAAAAGACTAATACCACCACCACAGCTGAATAACTAAGTTCAATAACTGGAGCAACATCTGGCAGACACCAGCAGCTCACACCTGTCACTCAGAGAGGCTATGTTCCTAATTTACCAAAATGTAACAGTTAAAACAAACAAACCTCATAAAACTTCAACTTTATACGGTTAGAGGAATCACAGACAAGTGCTTTTCTACCACTCACCAATATATAACGGTGATTATGCTGATTGCATTCATATATAAATTTACTGCATATTTGACATATGATATATTATCCACTATTGATCAGAAGGACCCATGCATCCTCATGCATGTTCATCCACTTACTATGAAGTGACAGCAATGTCGAAACTGTTCAAATGTCTCCCTTAGTCCTAGACTGCAGAACTTGGACTTTGCATTTTGGACTGTAAAAACCCCGCTCATGGCATATCCGGTTATAAACATGGACAGAGATTTGTATCTGTGCAAACTTGTAGGACCACACAACTTTTCCTTAGACATGTAGCCCACTCTTAGACATCCATATCTAGTGGCATGGATCATTTAATGTAATTCTGATAATGTTTAGTGGATGAAATAGACACTGAGTCCATGGATGAAACATTTAGGGCTCTATTTTCATGCTTCGCCAGAGACGGGGCGCAGGCGACAAGGCGCTCCCAAGCACAATTTGGTATTTTGGTGAGCGGCACAGCCTGGCATAAGTATCCCCCCTCCCTAACTCAGCTCCTCCCAGTGGCGTAAGTCGTAGCGAGGGAGGAGAGTGGGCAGAAAGTGGGTTTAACACAGCAGAGACCTGTGTTGACCAATAACATAAGCTCCTCTCCTCGCCTTTAAATCCATCACCGGTGAGGGGTATTGCAATTTTCGTGAAGTAGACAAAGAGATCAAGAGATGTCTGAAGACAGCAATGCCACACGATGGCGACAGAGGGCAGCCCCTCAACAAGTGTCGCTGCAGCACAGGTGGATTTGGTGTGTGTAATGTTGGGCCCACTGGTAAGACAAACACCCTTTTCCACAAATAAAGAAACTCACATAAAGTTGCATTTATATTCAAACCTCACATGACAAAAGTGGGTTGAGCGCACAGATCACAACATTAACTCCAATAATGGCACTAAAATCGGAACCATCTTTACGTAAAGGACGCATCGCGCTCCGTGGCCTGGCTCTTTCTTTCATAGATGTTGGCATATAAAATAAATTTGGCTCACAAAACTGAATATTATAATATTCGTATGTAGGCTTAAAGTAAAAAACTCATCTGAACACTGAAATAAATCATCTGTTCAGCCACCGCAGCAGCAGCTGCAGCAGGACGGGGAGAGGATTCGGAGACATGTCCAGGTCGAGCTACGCATGAAATAAGAGGAAGAGTAAGATAGAAATAGGGGGAGACAAATTAAATATCTTGTTAACTTTATTGTGTGTGTCTATGTACTAGATATTTAATTTAATTTAATGTGATTTCAGATGTGTTGATTTGGTCAGGATGTGTGTCCAGACCCGTGCCAAACGCGCTCATCAGATCAGATATAGATCGTAATATATCCATAGATCTAAATGTATGTGCTGACTCAGATTATTAGTTGTTGTTGATTATTTATTGCACAAAAATGTGCCTGACACTGTGGAAACCTGCCGGTGAGGCATCAGTGACGTATGCCAATATGCCGCCAGTCTACCAAAATACCTCTCGACCAGCTGCACTGAAAGCTGACCAGGTTTGAATCGGCAAGCTTTCAGCGCACTTTAGACGCCGGTGGCAAGCACAAAAATGTCACTGCGCCAGCTGATTCTGTCGACACCTCCCCCTGCCACACCACCACGCCCAGCTTGGTGGACCTCGGTGCCCCTCAGTCCACAAAAATACCAAACTGGCAGTAAGCTGGGCTCCGCCGGACGAAAATACCACTGCGCAGGGTCCGCCACCCTCCGCCGCGTCCCCGGCGGACACGAAAATAGAGCCCTTAGAGTCCTTGTGATCAAGTGACTGCATAAAAAAGGTTGCCATAAACACACAGACAGAAATCGTGTTTTTGGAAGTCTGTTGTCCACATTGCATTGTTAATAACAATAATTATCCAAATATTCTAAGGTAACCAGCAGCTAGAGTTGGATCCAGTGAGGTGTAAATAATAATTAAATTGTAATTATTGTGAGGTTTCACTTGTTTTTTTCTGACATTTTTATTTCTTCTCAAAATGCATTAATAATAATGATAAAAACAATATTAAACTTTTTTTATTTAATAATTTGATAATTATTATTTAAAAATATTAATAATCACTTTTTTTGACATATGAATTTGGATATTTCCGTCTGTGGCCCTAAAATCTATTCCCCTCTGATTTATCTTTTAGAGATGTATTTTTAGTGTTAGATTATACTGCTCCTCTACTCCAGCAATGCCCTGGATTCTTAAAACAGGTATCTGAAGTTTGCATTAAGGGTGCATGAGGTAAGCTTTGTAGTGGGAAAAGCAAATGATCAGATATCACTCCGGAGTCCCCTGCCCATTGAACAGTCTCCAGCACTAAAGAGGAGCGATCAGCTGTTACAGTCTAAGGCTGTGTCCCATTTCAGAGACCGTATCGTCGAACGGCGCATTTGAAGCGTGCACAATGTCATCACACGGCGCGAACGGTGTCCCATTTGGCACGAAATGCTAAGAAATGCTAAGCGCGCTTAGCATTTTTCAAGCATGCATTTATGCATGTTTTTGTGCCATTGGTATACCAGAATTCTTTGCATGCCGCTGCACAGCTGCGCATTTCGGGTGAGAGGCTGGACTCACTTGGAGACGCAGCGCAAAGAAAATACAAGAAATCCAAAAACAGCAGACAGTCAGCTCAGGCTGTATGAGAGCATGATCTCTGAACTCACTAAAATCTGTAAACCAAACATTATAGATTTAGAGATGAACTGATCTGCTCTGCTACAACAATCAAAAACATTAGAAATAAGAAAGCTAACAAAACTACAGCAGAGAATCAGGACAACATTGAGGTTTTTTTTTTTCTTTTTTATATTTAGAGATTAAAGTTGTAAATTTAGGAGAATAAAGTCATAAAGTAAATAAAGTCATAAAGCTGCTTTTGTGGAGGGGGAAATGACTGAAGCTGGTCATCTGCAGGCTTATCTGTGAATGTATCAGCGGGTCATTCAGAGAGTTTTTGTGGTTTCTGAAGAAACAATCAAACTGATGATCAACATTTGTGATCCAGAGAGAGTCAAGCTTCGACAAGCACCACGTCTCTGACACCGACGGTAACCTACACCTGCAGAGGCACCAACACCTTATTATGGCATATGGATTCATATCTTAAATTAAAGCTCAATGTCATTCACGGATATTTACGGCTGCATAAACGGATATATCCTCAGCATATTCATTTATGCCTCCACAAAAGCAGCGATTTCCTCCAAGTACACCTGTTTCTTTTTTACTTATGACAATGTAATGCTGATGTGCCAAAGGATGAAGTATCTCCTTGTTTGTGAAACCTATACTAAAGCACAGTTCCTTTAAATGCTTCATGGCCCTAATTTTAACAAGTCTCCTCTGAAATAACAGGTAACCTTATGACTTATTCTCATAAATTCATGACTTTATTCACGTAAATTCACGACTTAAATCTCAAAGTCTTTAAAAAAAATTCTCAACATGGCCCTCATACTCCTTCTAAGTGGTGGGCAAAACCGTTCATTTCAGTGAACCGGATCATTCCTGGTCGTTCGGTAAAAAGACCCGTTCATTTCGGTCATTCGGTCGTTAGTCAGTCCATTCGTTCATGCTGAACGAACGTGATGAGCGAACGAAATGACTGCACTTCAGACTCAACAGCGCAACAACATGTGATTACAGCATTAAAGGGGACCTGCCACCAAAATTTCATACCCATTTTTATCAATTTTTCATAATCCTTGATGTCCTCTGATCATGTTTGCAACATAATTTTAGCTGAAAAGTTATTTGATGGTTTGTTTTAGTATGCCTAAAAAACCTTACAGGAAAACCAACTGATTTTGGCTCATTAACATTTATGGTAATGAGCTTTGCTCTGATTGGATCGCTGCTGTGAAGCCTGCTGTGCTCTGATTGGCTCAGCAGTGGAGGTTCGGATTTCGGTTTATCCACTGTTATTATGCTAATGCTAATAGCATATGCTAATGTGTGCTAAAGTAAGGTGCCCAGATGTCTGTAATGATATCCGGGGATATTCGGTGCGGCGGCGGTGGTGCAGGGGCTGCAGGGGCTGTGTGATCACAGACAAAGTCTCGGTACTATTTAGTAGCAGCGCATGCCCCTTGTAATAACCCCGTAAGAACTGTTGTTCAGGACTGCTAACTAAATTCGGCTACTGTAATAACCGTTGTTCGAGCCCGCGCGCAACATTTTTGGTCTCATTAATGAAACGCTTAAATCGGGGACATTTTCGGGGACAGCTTTTGCCGGGGACAGATCATCCAATACGGGGACTGTCCCCGGAAATCGGGGACGTCTGGTCACCTTATGCTAAAGGCTAAAAACGGCAGGTATTAAACCATATATTTTAGACCCCGAGTCCGAAGAGGAGGTGGAAGTTGAGGAAGAAGCCGGAGATCTCCAGCGGTGTTTTCTCATTCATTCTGCCCGGCTTTAAGTTCATTTTCCCGGCAGTGAACCGAAGGAAACACCGATCGTTTGGAAGAGACCCATAGCGGATACAGCGGTAGCTGGGTCTCGCTCTGGCTGTGACTGAGTACGAGAACGAGAGAGTGGGCACGGCTCACCGAGGACGCGCTCGTGAATAATAATGAGCAAAGTCGGCGCAACGTAACACCGACGGGCTTTTTCAATTGGCCTGGTTTACTTGTTCCTTTATTTTAAACCTTTACAGAATGCAAACGACGTAACGGTTTGTTTTCACATGTACAACATAAGACGAACATAATATGGACCTTATATGACACAAAAAACCCCAAAAATTACATTTTTATGGCAGGTCCCCTTTAAGCACCCCTCCGGATCCAACATTGCGAGCGTCTCAGCTCCCCAGTCCGACGTTACGACCCCCCCCGCGGTCCGACGCTGTGACCGCTGCACTCCCCACTTCCCACCCCCGGTCCAACGCTGCGATCGCACTGCACTCCTTGTAATATAAAATTATAGTAGGAATAACAAAATATATAAGGTTTTTAATGGTTTTTATTATTTTGAGGTGCATTAAAAACAACAATAAAAAGTACAGAATGTCAACAGACAGTGCAAATGCGTATTAACAGTTGTCTCTCTGCCTCTGGCTGCAGCAGCAGCTGTGTGCCTTTGTGTGTGTGTGACTGTCCTGCTCGCTCGGGCACGGCAGTCGGCTCGTGCGGCGGCCGCGGCACTGTTTGTTGAACTCGTGGGTACAGATACCCCCCCGCAAGAGACTGCATTATAGTTTATTTTATTTAGTACATCCCGTTGCGTTCACAAGTCGGTCGGCTAGTGACAGGCTGACAGCACCTCGCAGAGAGTGAACGCTTGTACTCAGTCAGTCTGAGAGTCGGTCAATCTCTTGGTCAGACTGCGCTGACTGAAAAGACAGAGACCGAGTCGGTCATCGGTCTGGGTCTTTCAGTCAACTCGTTCATCGGTCCGGGTCTTTCGTTCAACTCGGTCTTTCAGTCAACTCATTCTTTCAGTCAACTCAGTCATCCCGGTCTTTCAGTCAGCTCAGTACTGCTGCTGCTTCTCTAAGCCCCACCCACACACAGAGCGTGGCATGACTATAGGATAAGACAGGCAAGCACGGAGATAGTCCCGCCCTAAGGAACGGTGAACTGACTCTTCAGCCAATCAAAAGAACTGAACGGACTGAACGGGTCATTTAGGGGGGGTGACCTCGTTCATTTCGTTCACCAAAAAGAACTTGTTCTTTTGATCCATTCGTTCAAGACCGACACACCACTATCCTTCATACAAAACAATCATTGGATGAATTTTGTGGAAATGATCTGTGCTTGTATGAATCTATTGTTTTGTGTCTGTGCAAGGTCGCACAATTAAGGTCGCTCCGCGGGTTTTCTTTAAGTCAGTCGTGACGCGAGCCTGAGGGCGGGGATATTTGGCGACCTTTGGAGGACTTCCTGGTTGAGGCCATATTGAGAATTTTTTTAAAGATTTCGAGTCATGAATATACGTGAATAAAGTCATGAATTTAAGAGAATAAAGTCATTAATTTATGAGAATAAAGTCGTAAGGTTACCTGTTATTTCAGAGGAGACTTAAAATTAGGGCCATGAAGCATTTAAAGGAACTTCAGTATAGGTTTCACAAACAAAGAGATACTTCATCCTTTGGCACATCAGCATTACATTGTCACAAGTATAAAGACTTAAAAAAGAATATATGAGAAATTCGTCTTTTCCACGGGGAAAAAAAACAGGTGTACTTGAAGGAAATTGCTGCTTTTGTGGAGGCAGAAATGAATATGCTGAGGATATATCCGTTCATGCAGCCGTAAATATCCGTGAATGACATTGAGCTTTAGTTCATGATATGAATCCATATGCCATAATAAGGTGTTGGTGGCTCTGCAGGTGTAGGTTACCGCCAGTGTCAGAGACGTGGTGCTCGTCGGAGCTCGACTCCCTTTGGATCTCAAATGTTGATCATTAGTTGGATTGTTTCTTCAGAAACCACAAAAACTCTCTGAATGACCCGCAGATACATCCACAGATAACCCTGCAGATGACCAGCTTCAGTCATTTCCCCCTCCACAACAGCAACTTTATTTACTTTATGACTTTATTCTCCTAAATTTACAACTTTAATCTCTAAATCTTACAAAAAAAAAAAAAAACAATGTGATCCTAAACTCTGCTGTAGTTTTGTCAGCTTTCTTATTTCTAATGTTTTTGATTGTTGTAGCAGAGCAGATCAGTTCGTCTCTAAATCTATATAATGTTTGGTTTGTAGATTTTAGTGAGTTCAGAGATCATGCGCTCATGCAGCCTGAGCTGACTGTCTGCTGTTTTTGGATTTCTTGTATTTTCTTTAAAGACGCGCTGCGTCTCCAAGTGAGTCCAGCCTCTCACCTGGAATGCGCAGCTGTGCATAATGCACGCTTGAAAAAGGGGCGGGGGTAGTGTGGTTTTGAGACCGAATTTGAAGAGCATTTTGTGCCAAATGGGACACCGTTCGTGCCGCGTGATGACCTCACGCATGCTTCAGATGCGCCGTTCGACGGTTGCGGTCTCTGAAATGGGACACAGGAAGGGTACTTAACGGCACATAACCGCACATAACCGCAGTGCGCTCAGCTAAGCTATCCCGATGCAGTCTCTGAAATGAGACACAGCATAAAAGTGTGGTGGAAATATAAACATGGCGTTTTGTTCTAATCCGGTCTGCTACTGTTTTTTTTTCTGAAGTCCTCCTTTCACTGATGTCCTTCTCAGTGAGAACAGAGGAATCACAGAGTGGTTAGTGTGGAGTTCTGATAATGATGCATCTCTCTCTTCCTCTTTGTCTGCCTGTCTTTCTCTCTGTCATTACATCAGTTTGATTCTCTAAAGCCACTGCACTCTCATCACAAAATCACCCCAACAAGCAGCAAGAAAAGTGCAGCTCCTTGGAAGCAGTTACAGGGTTCATTGTCTCCTCTCATGAGCAGGAAACAGTGAGGCATGATAGGAGTTAATGAGCTGTCACACCCGCTTCTCTGCAGCGCTTCAGGACAGGGCTTAATGGAGAAGCACACTTTTTTTCCCTGTGTCACTCACTCTGTTTCTCTTTTTCTCTCCCTCTCTCTCTTCTTTTCATTCTCATACTCTGTTCTTATGCTCCTGTTCGTCTCCCCCCACTGTGTCCTTTTCTCTTCCCCACGCTAAGCACTCAAACTTACCATCACTTTCTTTTTTGACCTTCAGAATCAATTCATCTTGTAAGATGAGAATTTGCAGAGTGGATCTGGATGGACAGGTGGTGATGTGTGTCAAGGCTTACCTATCTGAGTGCCATCACAGGGCAAGGCCTGAGCACCACTTTTTAGTAAGAGCAAAGGGATTCCTGCACAGAGTTGAAACCCACTTACAGATACAATAAGAGGCAGCACGAAGCACATGAATCCTTTGAAGGGGTCCCAGGGTGTATCGAACACAAAGGGGTGGTGACACAGCTGATCAGAGAGGCACGAGAGAACAAAAGAGATTTGGCAGTGCTGTGGCTGGACCTTGCCAATGCTTATGGATCGTTAGCACACAAGCTGGTGGAAGTGGCCCTGAGCAGATACCATGTTCCAGAGAAGATTCGCAATCTCATCCTGGACTACTACAACAACTTTAGTCTGAGGGTGTCCTCTGGAACATCAACATCGGAGGGGCATCGTCTCGAGAAGGGCATTATTACCGGCTGCACCATCTCTGTGTCTCTGTTTGCACTAGCCATGAACATGCTCGTGAAGTCTGCTGAAGTTGAGTGCAGAGGTCCACTGTCCAGGGGCCTTATGTATCAACGCTTGCGGCGCAAGAAAACCTTGCGTACGCCAAAATTGGCGCACACGTCCAGATTTATCATCGCGAAATGAGCGTCGGTTCCAGCGCTAATCAACGCAAAGTCAGGAGGTGGTGTAGAAATTGCCGTTGAGCCGATACTTGCGTTGACTGTGATTCGCACTTTGGCGACGCTGTGTGGCGTTGTTTGGTGACTCACTATGTGACAAGCGTGCACCACATCCCCGTGGCCGAGCAGCACGTCGCCCCACATGACGAACCAGCAGCAGACGGAGGGATGCGAGCTGATCCCTGCCGGGCCGCTGTCCTCGCGCGGGAGAATCTCATCGCCACAGTGTGAATGGGTAAGAAGTGAATACACAGTTCAATGAGCCAAATTAATTTATTTTCTCCACCAGACGCTCGAGGACATTTACGAGCCGGTCCAGCCGCTCGTTGATCCCCGCGATCCCCCTGATGATTTCTTCCTGCGATTGCAGGATCCCCTCCGCGAGGACCCTTCCACTGCGTCCGGGTGGTCCAGCGGAAGCGCCGCGGCTGGTGGACGCTCCACCGCTTGTCGGCGCGCTGATGCTGGTGCTGGTGCTGGGGCCGGGGCCGGGGTGGCCCGAATGCCGCTGGTCCTGGCCGACGACTCCGAGCCGGCGGACGGGCTGCCGCGGGCCGGGGTTCCGCAAGCCGGCGACACGGCCGACACATTGATTTCTGTGACACAATAAAAATATTTTTTCATTTCAATTCCTGCTTCTGTGTATCTGTTGCGTTTACATCTCTCTCCACGGTATCATAGGTAATGTAATCCAGTATTTCGAGGTCAGTTATGCACATTACAGTTGTTTATTGCATAAAAAGTTATCGAAAAATGAAGTTAAGGGCGAAGTATAAATCATGTCTAAAAATAGACTGAATCCCGACGTTGAAATGAAGTATAAACTTAGACTAGACATCTAATATACGTCTTTTGCTCAGTGGGATGACAAAGCATGTGGACATTTGTGTGACACGCCACTTACCCTATAATAATAATCGCCACCACCTGCTGCTCAAACGGTATGAGGGTCTCCTCCCCCGGACCCCCACCTGTCTGGCCAGTACTCCTCCGGAGGGCAGCTGTACACCGCTTGACCTCCACCTTGAGGTCCGACCACTTTTTTTTAATCTTTGCGGGG